GAGACGTGCAACCCACTCATAACGCCGGGCATCTCAGTGTCGAAGCACCTGTGCCGATGGATTCGCCGTAAAACCGAAACGCCATGCAGCCATCGTTCGAATAAAGTACTAAGACAGTATGTCGAGCCAGAGGCCGACTAGTGTGCAGAAGGAAAAATGACTACCATCGTCCAGCGCCGCCGTAGTTGTTGTTGGAATAGAGAGAAGAGAAACCGCCTTGACCTTGGCCATACAAGCCCTGCCCCGCCATACCGCCTTGGTGCAACCTTGCCTGCAAGATACTTGGGTCCTGAACATCGGCAAGACCACCTCCTCCAGAGGAGGATGTGTTTGCGTGCCTATGCTTCTTACCCTTTTTCTTGGATTTCTGCGAACCAGACTCCTGGTAAGCTCCAGGCGAAGGTCCATAAGGGAAGCTTAGGAGACCAGGGGCAGGTGCAGGTGTGGAGGTTGTGGGGTGTTGATTAAGGAAAGAAGGAAACATTGACTCACGCTTTCCAGCATCAGCTAGCCTAGCAGCACCATCCATGTTCCGGCTGCGGAGCAAGTCCTGATACATGGCATCATTGTTGTTCCTCGCCGTCGCACCAGCCCCGTAGGGTAGACCACCCGTCGCGAAACCGTGACCTTGACCGAACATGCCAGTCCCGCTGACAGGAGGTGTACCAGTAGGCTTCAGTCCGGGAGGAGGACCTTGCACGTTGGTGAAGAACTGCCCACCCAGCTGCTGGTGCTGAGACATGGGGTTGAATTGGTTGGCATTCTTCGGCATCATCGAGTTTTGTTGGCTCATGAGCTTCTGGTTCGCAACAGGTTGCACATTCGCAGAAGCAGAGGCGCTGTCGTTGGCGAAACTAAAGCGTGACGTGTGTCTGGCATGGCTAGGAGTATTGTGCTGCTGAGGCTGAGCATTTTGCATGTTGCTGAGAATATTCGTGGACTGGGTGCCGGACTTGAAGTTGGAGAGCAACAACTGCTGTTGCTGCTGTGGCGTCAGGCCTCTGTTGCTCAATCCAAGGTTGCTGAAGTCCTCGGCCAGAGGGGTGTTCTGCCCAAAGAGGCTTCCACCGAAACCCTGTTGACCAGGTGGTGCAATCGCATGCTGGTTGAGATGGTTGGTGCTTGTCTCAGGGCCGTCTTCGGGCTCGCCTCCAAGTTGTAAGCTGCCACCAGCCGTCGCCTCGTTGTCTTCACGCTCAACTGCAGCAGGAGCTTGCTGGGAGGCTGCCTTTGCAATTGCTTCTGCCTCGGCCTCCCGCTGCAATGCCAATTCCTTCTCCTTCTTTTCCTTAATGGCACGACGCTTTGCACCGCCATTGGGGTCCAGGAGTTGAGGGAACTCGGTAACAGCTTTCAATTCTTCCTCAGATAGAACGGCACTGGAGAAGACGAACTTGAAATCTGGCGAGCAGATGACCTTTAGGAGATCGTGAATGCCGTTGTCGCGGGATTTGGCAGGACGTGCGGCGGGTGCAGGCGCAGGCGGCGGAGTTGCAGGCTTCGATGCTTGCGGAGACTTGTCTTTCTCCTTTTCCTTTTCCTTCTCCTTCTCTTTCTGCTCTTTCTCCTTCTCCTTCTCCTTTTCTTTCTCCTTTTCTTTTTCTTTTTCCTTGTCCTTGCCCTTCTTCTTTGGTGCCTCCGCTGGCTTCGGTGCTTTCGATGCTTGTGCAGGGACAGCGTTCGTGATCATGGGACTGGCGTTGTTCGAAGCAACTGTTGAGCGGCTTGCACGACGCTCCAGCACCGCTTTGCTGCCCCAGTTTGCCGTTGCGGGTAGGCCAGGTGCTTCATGTATCGAGCTCGACGTGTCGTTACTGTCTTGGCGATTCATCGGTGTCGCGGCAGCAACGGGTGGACCCTGGTGCGCAGGAGGTGCGGCTCGGGATGTGGACGACTGTGACGGTTGTTGCGTCTGGATCGAGTTCATCATGGAGAGATCCTGGCGGGTAAAGCTGTCGTTGTCCTCGCCAGGTTCGTGCAAGAACATGCAGTTGCGGTTGTTGCAAGTCTCGCCGCGGAGGTACGCTGAACAGTACTTTGTCGTACCAAACTGTGCTCTGTAGAGACGTAAGCTTGTCACATGGCAAATATGCAGGAAAGATATTTACGTACCTCAGTGTTCTCTCGCCGTTCTGGGAGCCGTCGACAGCATTGATGCACTTCTCCGCGTCTTCTTTTCGAGCGAATGTTACGTAGACGCCCACCGACTGCTGGTGCTGAGCGTTCTCCTTGGCCTTGCTTACGACGATCTTGAGGATCTTGCCGTACTGCCCAAAGTAGTCGTCACCGCGGAGGGTCTTGAGTAGTTCGTCTTCGCGTATGGTGGGCGTGAGACCGGTAACGTATACGAGGTTCTTCTGGACGACACGCAGCCCAGACAGGTGCTTGCGGCTGAGAGAGTCGGCTTCGGCCTTCTGCGCTTCCTTCTGCCGTATCTGCGCGTTCTTCTTGGCCTTTTGCGCTATGAGCTGCTTGTGCTGTGCCATCCTGCCCAGTGTCAGAAGTGTTATGCAGGGAAGATGTAAGGGACGACGCACTCTTCGGGGGAGATGGTCTTCCACTCGATCGTGGAGTCATCGTAGGGTCTGCGACATGCGGGGCACAGCCCGTTCATGGTGGTTTTGATGTTGTTGTAGCAGAACTGGCATATCTGGCACGTGAGTTAGCACGGGGGACTCGAGAAGGCTTCACCGAGTTTCGGCACAAAGGCGTACTTGGTAGCCGCATGGACAGGGCCGGAAATTCCTGTCCGAGAGGTCGAACTCCTCGACGCAGAGCGGGCAGCACTCCTCCTCGTCATCGTCGACGAACTGGTCCTGTTGCAGTCGGGACATGGTGTTGTGTGGTTGTGGAAAGTGCGTGGTCAAAGCCGAAGGGTGGCGCTGGATGTGATGGTACGTGGGGTGAGATGGGAACTAGGTGGCATCCACAGGGGGTCAGGAAGGAAACCGCTGAAGCACAAATAAACGCCGGCCGGAGAGTCGCTGTCGCTGTAAGAGGGATCCACGGAAGGGTGATGGGGGTTAAGAGGCTGCACCTGCGCGATGGGACACCAGTTCCGCCAGACGCTACTTACATAATCTTGCATGTTGCGGGTTGAGCTGCGAACTTCACGACGTCGACGACATCACCACCCCGAGTCGCCTTTACCTGCTACATCGCGTAGCCTCACCACTCCCTCACTGCACACTATGGCTATGCGGCTAGCTGTAGGCCGGCCATTGGGCGCCGCCGTCCGCGCATCCACCTGCTCCCGCCATGCAGTGCGCACCTTTGCCTCGTCGGCTCTGCGGGCGAAGGAGGTCGCGGGCCCCGAATCCGACACGCCAAACATGAGGGTGCGCTATATCACACGTTGGAGCTGGAATATGGGCTTCTAACACGACTGCAGTTTGCCCCCCGTGACGAGGCCGTCAAGCTCAAGCGCGCCATCGTAAACCCGGCAGACCAGTACAAAGAGAAGGGCGAGTCTCTGCACAAGTATGGCCAGTACATCATGTCATGTCTGCCCAAATACGTCCAGCAGTAGGTCAGCCCAGACCTCAATCCAGCACTATCTGATGGCAGTCCAGGTTCTCCGTGTGGAAAGACGAGTTGACCATCTACGTCCCTCCCGCCGGCATCATCCCCACCTTCACCTTCCTGAAGTACCACACCGCGGCTGAGTACACACAAATTTCCGACATCACAGCCGTCGACTACCCCACCAAGGACCAGCGCTTTGAAGTCGTCTACAACATGCTCAGCATCCGCCACAACTCGCGCCTCAGGGTCAAGACATACGCAGACGAGGCCACCCCAGTCCCCAGTCTGTGCGATCTCTACGACGGCGCCAACTGGTACGAGCGCGAGGTCTACGATCTGTTTGGTGTCTTCTTCGTTGGACACCCAGACTTGAGGCGCATCATGACCGACTACGGTTTCGATGGACACCCACTGCGAAAGGACTTCCCCATGACTGGATACACTGAGATCCGATACGACGAGGAGAAGAAGAGGATCGTCGTGGAACCCCTGGAGATGACACAGGCTTTCAGGAACTTCCGTGGTGGCTCCTCAGCATGGGAGCAGGTCGGTCCTGGTGACGACCTCAAGCCCGAGAACGTGAGTCTCTTTACTTGCCATATTTATGACGCCGCATCTAACGGAAATACAGTTCAAACTCCCAACACCAAAGCCAGAGCCTCCCAAAGAGGAAGAGAAGAAATAGAAAGCTTAGAGGATATGGATTGTATATACCTGCGAATGAACGTACTTGTACAACATCCAACATTCCACCACATGCTAGACATCATCCCTCTTGCTCTGTGTTCTCAGTGCATATGTGTTGGCTCCGTGGTCCAGATGTAGTGGGCTCGACGGCTAATATAGAAGGTCCGATAGAACATTTAGCAAAGACATCCTGTAATACACCGAGGCTCGATGGCTGCAATACGACGTATCCACGTACTTTGGGTCCCGATTTCTCATGCCAAGCAGATCTCGCAATCTGTCACCCAATCAGGTAAGCGCAGTTTAATGCACCTTCTGTCAGTCGTCACCAATTGGGTAAACTTCGGAACCACCGCATGGAGTTTTGCATGATCAGCCGTAGTCGATGTGCAAGACGTACCACTGCGGCTATCCACTGGAATCTAAAGCTTGCAGGTTTTCAGCCATTCTCACCCGGAACAGTACCCCGCTTTCCCCGTCTGCATCACGAGATGACTGCACTCCAAGACAAAAGGGCCACAGGTTAGTCTTGTTTGGTGCTCCGAGTGGGTATCGCGACCAAGGACCTTGAGCGCCTCACGATCGCCCATGCCTGAGTTAGACTGCTCCCGACTTCCCGCCAATAGTAGTGATCTCTGTTCCAGTGGTATTCGCCTTCGTCATACGAGTCTATCATTTGAGTGTCTGAGCATCTGGGTATAAAATACAGCCATGGTTCTTAGGCAACATGCATCTTGAAAATGAGACTTCACACTCTTCCCTTCTTTGTATCTACCGCCCTAGCTACCATGGCCAACACTACTACCACAACAATTGAGCCATTCAGTCTCTCTGCTCCCCCAGGAACTGACATCTGGCGCAAGCCTCCGACTCATAACGCGTTCAATGCATCAACCTACCCAGCTCAGCTTCCGACCTACGACCTGAAGACATTCCAGCGAGCGAAGCTTGCCTTTGAGCTCCCGCCCGCCGACCAGCTTCGCCAGTACGACCAAGCTGGTCTCTTACTGCATGTTACCAAGCCAGGAGTTCCTGACAACGAGACCAAGTGGATCAAGACTGGTATCGAGTTCTACTATGGAAAGCCATACGTAGCGACCGTGGGTTGCGATGCTTGGGCCGACTGGTCGCTCGTTCCTATGCCCGAGTTCAAGAACAGTAGTAGGCCTGGAGCTACCATTGAGGCGAGGAGGGAAAGAGATGACCTTGGAAAGAGTCTTTGGATTTACTGGATTGTCAAAGATGAGACTGGCAAGGAGGTCGAGAGACGCCCATTGAGAGAGGTTACCTGGGTATTTGCGGAAGAGGAAGGCTGGAGTGTGGGTGTTGCGGGATACGTGTGCCGGCCAACCAAGGACGGTGGAGAGGAATTGCTTGAGGCAGAGTTCAAGGAGGGCGTGGAGATTGAGATAATCAACTGAGTAAGTGATGGATAATCACATGGGGTATCTGGAATGGTACGCAATGCTGTCAGTTGTGCTTTTTCCTAGGCTAATAGTGAGCAGATTGTTTACAAAGTCACCGACGTCTCTCTGGTTAGCGTTCATACAGAATTGAACTCCTATATCCACATACAGGCTGCTTCTTATGTGTATATACAAAGCAGGTGTTACTACACCAAGGCTGTGACTATGCCTAATACTATCGTCGTCTTGTAGATTGCAACCTCTAGTGGCATTGAGGCAGTTTATCAATCCGCCCTTTACCTCGAATAGACACAAGGCGAGCGTAAGCGGCGAGTCACAGCTTTCCCTCTTCATCCTGGGAAGCACCGCGACAGCTGACCCGAAGCTCTGACACATGACTGCAGATACCTCTCTAGGCTGTAGTCCTCTTGGGATCAACTACTTTATCTGTACTGGTCCGCTTTTGTCAACAGCAGCAAATAATCAACACAGAAACAAGAGTCCACGAACACTGCAACCATGGGTCAAGTGCAACTCTATTGTCCATCCAAAAAGAAGACCGTCGACAATTTCGTCTTCGGCGCATTCCAGAATCTCGACCAAGTTCTGCAAGGCGTGCGACTCGCGCTCGATATCAAGTACGCAGCACTCTACACTGTCGAGGCGAGACCCATATACGAACCCAGTGCGCTCGAGGACGATCAACGCATATTGGTGGCAGCAAGTGCGGAAGAGACGATGTTGCCTGATGCGCCCCCTGGATGGGTTCTGTACCATGGCGAAGAGGGCGACGATGTCGACCCGGACACGGAAGGTTATGGTCAAGAGTGGGGTGTGAGTACAAATCGGCACCTACATGAGGGAGAAGTCGCTAATTGATATCAGACGCTGTCCGATCATGAAAAAATATCTACACATCACCAGTCTCAACGAGCAGAAGCCCGAGACCCGCAACAAGATGCGCATCACGCGCCCATACAAGTCGCTTGAAGCAGAACTTCACTTCTTCGAATACAAAGAATCATCAACCGTTGAGTTCACTGAGGATGATGCCCGTGTCGAGCGATACTGGGGCATCACTGTCAAGCAGTTCATCCCCTTCTCCATGAAAGCAGGACCTAGCACAAACCTTAGCCAGAAGCTCACCTCCCCAACCGCATTTGCTATCATGATCTTGTCTAGCTTCACACACGGTCAATCTCGACTAGCTCTAGAGGTACTAGAGGAGGCCATTGCGCTACGCACCCAAGATGAGCAAGGCGACAACAAGGATCCCGCCTTGCAGACGCAAGATGTACTCAACGCGATTGCCATTGTATATGAGCGGGCTGATCTTATCCCAGCCAACCTGACAAAGGTAAAGAGCGGAAAGTCGAAGGAGCGTGAGAAGCGAAAGGCTGCTAGGGAGAAGAAGAAGTCCGCTGGTCAGTCTAGCACTTCGGTGTAGGAGTAGACTGGCTGCTTCGAGGGTGCTTTCAATAAATAGAAGGGTTCCTTGGGTAAGCTGAGGTGAAGGCACGATTGGTAAGTGCAGAATCAGAAGTGTGAAGTCATATCGTGATGGCTACGTGCAAGATTCTGTATGTATGTTTCTTGAAAAGTAGCTCCAATACCAACACATTGCACACCATCACCATGGACTTATCAAATTTTATCTGTCTAAGCACCACATGTAATCTGGACACGCAACTAATACATCCAAGGAGTGACCCACAGAGTGCAGGACGAATGTCAGCATGCACGCACATCTGAAAGCCCTAGTAAGTTTGAGTTTGTCTATTGGATGTCTCAGTATATCACTACATTAGCAAACAAGCATCATTGATATGTCTACTCTCCTCGCGATCTTCATATGTTTCCAAGAATCACTTGTTCCGCTTCACATCACTAATCTTCAACTTACCATGGAGACGTCTCCAGACAAACCAACCACTATGTCAGAACAGCAGCCCCTGCAACCCCGAGTAAAAAGCGTCTTAGACAAGGATATCACTAGTAAGTACCACATCAGAGAAGACAGAGCAGCACAGTTCTAAGCAACAACTACCAAACAGCCGTCTGGTTCACAACCAATCTCACCAAAATCTCGCACAGCGATCGCGAGACGTACGTTCGTATGCTCCGCACCAAACTTGAGGAGAGCGTCAAAGAGAGAAATTCACTAGACCAACAAGCTGCTTTGATCATCTCCTTGGTGGAAGAGCCAGTCGAAGCTCTAAAACAACAAGATGAGCCAAACGAGGAGGAGTTGAAGCACGCGAAGAAGGTCGCGGATGACACGAAACGAAGAGTTATGATTGACCGGTTGGTACACGATGCTAAGCATGAGGGTTTAGAGGCGCTGCTTAGCAAGGCTGAGTACACCATATGTGGACAAGTAGCATAGCAATATCGAGGGAAGAGTCGATGGGGCAAGGTGTTTGAGATGAATATGAGGGGCGTAGTGAGGAATTCTACAACGCAAGACTGAAAAACCCAAAAGGGCCTTGATAAAATGTATGTGAAAAATGCCGAATTAAAGTGTCACCTACATCTCCATTCTATAAAATTCGCCGATCTATGCTGCCATGCACGTTCACGCCGCCTGAGCAGCTCTCAGTCCCCCTCTTTGAGCCGTATTCCGGCTTCGCACCTCACTCTGCTTAACCTCCAAATGCGTCCCGGTCCTGTTCTTCTCCAGCGACACCAACTCCGGAGAGGCTGCGTCAATGTAATCCTTAGCATCCTTCTCAATTACACCAGGAGTGGAGACATGTATACCCTCGACCAAGACCTTCTCGTCATCTGGAATCTCCAGAGTGGTTTCCTTGATCTCGGGTTTCTTTGTGCCAAAGGGAGGGTCGAAGCGTTTACGTAGGGTCTCGATCATCTTGCCGAACCAGAACCAGTTCAAGCCGTTGAGGATGAAGTTTGAGGCGAGGTAGGCGCTTATGATCCACAGAGGGACGGTTTGGTTGTCGGCGAACTGGAGGACATCGTTCTTGAAGGCTGCGTTGCTGAGGGTCGTGTTGTCTGAAAGCTTTCCGACGTCTGGGTCTGAGCGTACAACTGCGCCGGCTGTGTAGGCGTGGTAGACATCAGTGAAGACGCGTATTGACTGGTACGATCCCCACACGATGCGGCAGGAGAAGAAGGTGCACAGCAGAACTATGCCGTTGACGAGCTGGATGGTAGTACCGGTCATGTTGAGTTTATCGCAGAACCAGTGGATGTTCAGGAAGGGCGAGGAGAGCTCGTAGAGGATGAAAGTACACGCGTAGTAGTTCACGAATGGACGCTGTCGCACGATTAGTATTCCACACAGCTCCCATGTGCTCCAAAGAGCACCGCTTTACACTTACGAAGCCCAGCGAGAAGACAGAGAGGGCACAGATAGCATGGAACAGCATGCCGATACCAAAGGCCTTCACATTCTGTACTGTGATTGCCAGGTCCCACAGGAAGTAGCCTCCCGCGAAAGCTTGAATTAAGCCAGACGCCCCCGTGTATCCATGCACGCGCTCCGTTGCGTCCATCTGGTTAAGCTCCCTGTCCGTCCACATAACCCATAACGCCATAGAGCAGATGAGTGTGCTCTGGACAAAAGACACGATATGTACATCCCAGTTCAGCTTGGTTCGCGCACTGAACTGCGCATATATCCTCGGGACGAGGAGGCGCGAGATAGCGGGGGCGAAGTAGCGGTAGGTGCAGTGGTAGAGGGTGAACGCTGCAATGACCTCGTGGAAGTGCAACGGTAGCGTCTTCAGCGAGAGCATTTCAGCGACGGGCTCTACATATTTGACCAGTCTCTCAGGCCTCGGGAAAGGAAACGGGTCGTGCATCGTCGCAGTCGAGCGTGGAGTGTAATAGTCGCGGTGGTGGAGGTGTGAGGTGTGATGTCAGGGTGGTAAGGGTTGCACGCGGGCAGGAGCGATGGTCGGACCTGGCCTTTCCGAGGAAGCAGCGAAGTGGCTGACGGCGGGGGCAAGGCAAGAGCGTCTTTATAGTTAGGGAGACAAGAAGACCCAAGGCCGCAGCGGCACAATGATGCACGCCGCTCGAGGATGCCTGGTAAAGGTGCGGATGACGACGAAGCTTGGAACAATCCATGCCTCTAAGCCGAGATGCGATTAGCGAGCCGAGAGTTCATCACGCAGCGCATCAGGCACACGACACTTTGTTATCCACCCTGACATGTTTGTACCATGTCGGAATACAGCCACGAGACCACGTCATGTTGTGATGGGTTTCATATGTCTATGTACAGAGCACCGCCACAAGAGGCGTAATGCCGCGACGGCTAGGAACAAGCTCCGCTTCCGTGCATCGCCCCTCTTTCGCCCAACGCAGGAATATATAGTGAGCTTCTAGGGAGGTTTTCGAAACAATGAACGTACACGGAAACTCACTAGAAAACATCAAGTCTGACGTTGTGAGCAAACCAGCAGTCCTTGCACATATCGTCCTTCAGCCTCTCAGCGTACGATTCCAGGAAGAGCGCTCCGACATACGATGTTCTCTCAATCTGGTCGAGAAGGGTGTAGAAGTCTTGCAGGCTTCTATAGCTGATGATGCGGTTGCTACAGCTGGAAGAAGTTGTGGCGTTGGTGGTAGAACGACTCTGTTGCATGGCAGAAATAGCAGCGTGAATGGGCAAGACAGTGGTCGTGGATGTCTTCAAGGAAGCGTCTTCATGCACAGGCTCTTTCTCGGAGGATAATGGCGGCGTGAGCAACCCAGAAGTGTGTCTCGGTCGTTCAGACACACAGTCATGTGATGTCGTGTCAGGTGCTCTCATATGCTCTCCTGCCATCGTCTCAGACGAGAGACTACCTGTTGTTTCGCCTGCTCCCCATATCTTTTCGGCATACAGCTGCATCTCAAGCCACAACGACCACGATGCTTCTGTCAAGCTCTCTGTTGCAGACAGAAGTTCAAGGGCGAGCATCATCTCATGCTCATTGTAGTAAGGATGGAATTTGTTCATCTTACTGTACTTGCTCCCAGGTAGATGTACTGAGTTGTTGACGATGGGCCGTTGGATGCCGTGCTCGTTGTTGATCTTGAGGTTCAAGTTCGCGTTGAGTTCTTTGTCGTGAACTGACAGTAGATCGTCCTCCCAGGTAAGCCGTTCGGCGACCAGAAATAGTTTGTGCATGTGAGCGGTCATTTCACGCTTACCTCCACAGACCGGACAGCTGAGAGCCGGTTTCGGCTGGATGTCAGCACCATTACTATGATGGAGCTTGTACCAAGAATCGTACGGCATGAGACCAAGAGGATATGGTACCCAGTGGCCGCTCTGCCCTATCTTGCTGAGAGAATGTGGCGGATGCAGAACAGCGGGTTTGTATATTGTTGATGGGACGAACTTTGTCGGAGCGTGTGGAGTCTTCGGATTCGACGCTGCCGGCGCCATTGTGAGAGACGTCAAAACCTCGTGGTAGTTAAACACGCTATTGAGACTGTTGGGAAAGTCGTAGGTTTCTCTTGTAGAGTTGACAGAGTGTTCGTTCCAGACCCCCTCTATGTGAGGCAAAATATGAGGACGCAAATAATACCCCCGCTCCACATAACGACTAACTGTATCGTTTGCCAGTACATTTCTTCTTCCTTGACCTGACGTTTCTTTTCTAAAACGTCTAACTCGTGTTGATATTCTGGTGTTCGAGTGGACATGTCTTGCCATAGGTGTTCGTTGTGTTGTAGTGAGTGTTGTCTGATGATATGCTTGCTAGGAGAGAGGAGCGGCATCAGGTCCTCTTTATGCTTCATTTCTTCACGTCAGCACCTGAGGCAGGTAAGCAGGTAGAATCTAAAGTTTAGGAGGGAACGAGAGAATAATTTAGAAAGAGTAAGTGCGGATGACTTTACATAAGAAGTGCGAGGCAGTAACACGTCAGTAACTAGGCAACCTCGCTTCTCATCCGCGGTTCTCGACTCGCTGACCATGGGACTCGTATCTTTGGTGTAGGTGGCGCGTGTTCTTAGCGTGTTTTGCGAAGAGCACTTGAGCTAGGCAGTGGCATTGCCTGCTCACCCACATGCCGCGATTTAGTAGGTGATGGAGTTGGAGTTAACGATAGGCACGAGAGGTGCTCTGACTAATTCATAGGATATTCTCTGAGGTGGGGAAGTTGAGAAAAGAATATTTCAGTCAATATTCGATATTTTCAGAGATTCGAATACCATGGTTCCGCTATGGTTGCTTGCTGTGGACCATGGTTATCAATACCTCTCTTTGTGATGGTTGTAGACGAATAGTCGAAAGAGAAAAAGAGGCTCTCGTGAATGCAACCTTCACTCTCTGATACGCAGTCACCATATGTTGCGTAGCACGGGATCGCCATCGTACGCGTCCAAGTGCATTCACAGCGCGTGGTAGAGGAAGTGAGAGAGAATGCGGGGAGGTAGACGCGACTTACGCGACGGAGACGTGCAGGGATCAAGGATGCTCAAAAGTTGGGAGAGCGCGAAAGCGGGACAGAGGAAATGATTCGATCGCATCCCACATGTCACAACCATGAAAGCCATTCACCGGTCTCTTCGAGGCAATGCCACGAATTCTAGGCCAATTATACACAGCAATCTGACGTCAGGTCAAACGAGATTGCCACTATGCCGAACGTACACTCGACCCGCATTCGCACCGAAGCCCACAATCGATATCAAGCACATCCGCCAGAACCCAGGACTGTATGAGCAAAATTGCATAGACCGCAACTATGCCGCACACAGCAAGTCTTCATGGCGCATCATAGAGCTGCACGAGCAATGGCTCGCGCTCCAGAAAAGCAGCCGAGACCTACGAGAACGCAACAATCGCATTCGAGCCAACCTGGCGAGGACGGCATCGCGCGCTAAAGATGCTGAGAGCAATCCGGTAGCTTTGAGGGAAGGAATCATTGGCGAAGCAAAGGCGTTGAAGGCCGAGTTGAGCTCCATCGAAGCACAAGAATCACAAATCCAGGAACAGATAGAGGGCCTGGCGCAGGACCTGCCCAACCTGAGCAGCACGTACACGCCAGTCGGCACTGAGGCTGACGTACTTGGCTATATAAACTCGCACCCCCAGAGCGAGTCTTCGAAACAAACTCGCAAGTCGCACGTTGATATCGGACAAGAACTGGGAATACTCGACTTCTCGGGCTCAGCGCAGACCTCGGGATGGGGCTGGTACTTTCTCGTGGGAGATGGTGCAATGCTGGAACAGGCACTCGTACAGTATGCGCTGAGTGTTGCTAGAAAGAAAGGATGGAAGGCAGTTGCACCGCCCTCCCTGGTGTACTCGCACATTGCATCTGCATGTGGGTTCCAGCCGCGGGATCAGAACGGAGAGCAGCAAATCTACGCTATCGAGCAGTCGGAGAAGGACAAGGCAAAACCGCAGCTAGCGCTCGCCGGCACTGCGGAGATACCACTGGCTGGCATGAAGGCCAACCAGACTCTAGAGGAAGCGGATTTGCCCTTGAAGGCAGTCGGCGTGAGCAGATGCTACCGTGCTGAAGCTGGCGCCCGTGGAGCCGACACCAAGGGCTTGTACCGTGTTCATGAGTTTACCAAGGTCGAGATGTTCGCTTGGACATCGCCGGATCACATGGGAGATGATCACTTTACCACACCAACGGCACCAAGCGCAGAAGCAATTTTTGACGAGATGCTCTCAATCCAAAAGGAGATACTAGAGGCACTCGGACTGCACTGCCGCATCTTGGAGATGCCCACAACAGACCTCGGTGCCAGCGCAACGAGAAAGATTGATATCGAAGCTTTCTTCCCGTCTCGAGAGAAGGACCAAGGATGGGGTGAAGTGACGTCGTCCTCCATGTGCACTGACTACCAAAGTCGACGGCTGCAAACTCGCATGCGTGTCAAGGGGGGCAAGCTAGAGTTCCCATACACACTAAATGGAACTGCACTTGCTGTACCCAGAGTACTGGCAGCCATATTGGAGAACCACTGGAACGAACAAGACGGCGCGGTGACGATACCAGAGGTGCTGCGACCCTTCATGGGCGGGCAGGAGAAGATACAGGCATAGTGGCGACGAAGCAATGTACAATCATGTATTATGTATATGTATATGTATTAGACGATGATGTCAGGCGGTTGGTTGCACAACTAATGCGCGTCACAACGGTACTCGCGAGAGGATCAGTCAAGCTGTGGCCCGCAAATGTTTACCAGACGACGCTGCTCGCCCCCTGCATCAACCTTGAAAGGTTCGGATGATCAAATGCTTCGATCCCCTGTTTTGGCCGCGACATCCCAGCTGGTCGCCATCGAGGCTGACTCTGCGCTTGGCCCGGTTATGTGCGGCGATTGGCGCACAGCCTCCAGGCCGTTCAAGCAGCGTCGCAGCGTGCATGGGACCAGTTGCATGCGGATAGCGAGCATGTGGACAGTCGCCACACAGCCACTGTTGTCTACTACTGCACGGCTCCTGAAACATTTTCTCAACACTGCACATGTATCGCGAAACAGCACAGTGTCCCCTGTCGCGCTGAACCGGTTCTGGCCCAGGTCCACCTTTGGCGCCATCGCATTTGTGGTGGGGTGGTTTTGCGGGCCATTCTCGTCTACGGCCTGCGCACCCTCCAGCCTCAACCCAGCCAGCATCAACAACCAGCCTGCCTGCACCTAGAGCTGCACCGCGGCGTGCAAACAACGCAACACGCAGCCCTGTTGCTGTCGCCACACGCTCGCCCCCGCACTCCCCAGCCATCCTCGACTTGTCGCAATATTCGCGGGCACCCATCGCCGTCGCAAACCACGCCTTCGGCCACCACTCCTTGCGTCACCCCGAGCACAACAACACCAGCGAAAGCGTGAACGTCGCGGCGCATGGTTTCCTACCCAGACTCGTCGAGTGCCGAGCGCTCACTGCCCATCCGGCGTCCGTCGTCGGTGGTGTCCCATTCCTCGCGCGCATCCACCGTCCGCAGACATCGCCAGCACCGGTCCAACGTTGGGAGCCCGTCGCTAGCCCCCCAGAATGAATTTCCCGTGTTTACGCATACCGGCGACGTCGAAATCGTCATCAACAACGGACGGAAGCACATGCGCTATCTGTTGCACAAGTTGATTCTGACGCAATGCTCTGGCTTCTTTGAGGCTGGCACGAGTGACGAGTGGGCGACTGCCGGCGATGTGACCAATGCCGGTCCTAGCAACGGCACCGCCCTATCGAGGATACCATCAGGGTCACGGCCGGAGCAGAAGAGGAAATGGAGATACGAGATGGATTGGGGCAGCGGCGACGATGACCTGCCCATGCTCGTGCAGAAGGTGCGTTGTTTACACGTCCACGGGGTTAGACATACTAACGAGCATACAGAAGAATCAGCCTACAATGTTTGGCGGCGACCCAAGTCCACCTCCACAGCCGCCTAATGCGCGCAACAAGCCTGCACCACCACAGTCAGGCTTCTTCCGCAGCATGGCCAACTTCTCCACTCTACACGTGCCAACAGCACCTGCTCCTGAGACCGACCCCGACGACGACATCTTCCGAGACTACGACAACCTGTTCCGCATCTTCTACAACTACCCGCCCTCGCTTGATGCTGTCAATATCGCCAATGCATATGTAGAGTGCAAATCGCTTCTGCAACTCGCCGACATGTACGACGCGCTTGGTGTCATCGGACCGCGCGTGGACCACCATCTGCTGCGCTTCCAGGGGCGACTGTGGAAACAGATAGCGAAATATCCACCCAGCTATCTCAAACTGGGCTACATGGCACGGAGTAAAGCCATCTTTGCCGAAGCCATGGTGCACGTCGTCGGACAATGGCCACAGGGCATCAACCAACTGCGCGGTCAAATCGCCGAGCCTGTCCTTGAGTTGATAGAAGACAAGGTTGACGAGATGGATGAGCTGAAGGCGAAGATTGAAGTCAAGCTCTTTCGCTTATCGCTCACAACTAGTCGCGGCGAGCGTGTCAGTCCATCGAGCAACTGGCTGGACTGGATAGCAGTCTCACTGTTCCGGCAATGGCTAGCGGAGAATACCACGCCACCCCCAGCTCCGATTCTCAAATCACCACGGCCTCAAAACTCGCGAGATGGAGCGCCGCTGCCAGCTCCACCCGTCTTCAACACAGGCCGTATCTTCCGCTTACTCGGCCAGGCTGGCTCAACTTACCTCAATCACGACGAATGCAAGCGCTTTCTGCGACTGAATCCGGATCACTACAACCGTGACAACCTCAAGCGATTCGAACGAAGGATTGACGAGATCAAGAACAAGGCCAAGGACGCAGTAAAGCCGCTGATGCGCAACTTCCTCGAGCTTGACCTGCGAGAAGGCGGCCTGCCTTATTTGACGTGCACAAGAATCGATCCGCAAGACTTTCCGTGGGATGATATATAAGATTGGAGAGGAATTAAAGATGGGATTGGACCATCTGGCGCTTTTGATCTATTTGTTTTTGGTCGCGGGACTTTTGGCGCTACGATACCCTAGGATGTTTGCACCACCACAATGTTTTGCTGTTCCCATTTCCTTGAACGATTTGATGAGGTAAGAGATAGAGAGGAAGAGACCGTAATTTGCGTAGAAGAAGGAAAGATTGAAAGTGGATGCTGGTCATGTGCTTTCTTCTTCTTCCCTTTATGGAGAGACGACAGATAATCGACGTTTTTACAATTTCCACGTGCATTGTGATGTTCTCTGCGCCTTGCATATGCTGGTGACGATATCAGTATCCGTGATCTTGCCGAGGTTCAACCCCTTCTTTTCTCACAATAGCAGCAAATTGCTTTTGTCTGTCCCTGGCATCCAGAGATAGGAATCAGACTGCAGCCGGCATCCGAGGGATAGGGCTTGTACCGTCTGCCGTCATGATCGACGCCTCACCCGCGCCGCGCCGAAGTAGCGTGTGGGGGCTGGGACGGATACGGTGGGTACGCTGGGAGATAGGGCACAAGGAACGAAGACGTGTTACCTCACCTAGGGATGATATCGGTAGCTGGAAGTCTTGAAGCTATCGAAGTAGCTTTGTGATGAGGTCGGCGAGGTGGCACAGCTATCTACCTTGGTAGGCAATGTGTCAAATGTTGTGTCCACGTTTTGACAGTGTTGACAGCCCTGACAGCCCCCTCATCCTTCGATCCGATCCTGTTTGATCGGACACAGGGATGGTGATCTGCTTTCCTTTCCACATTGCCGTGGAGACATCGTGGAGTCGTATGCAGGTACGATATCGGAGTTGTAAGGCTCTAAAGCACTTTCTCATGACGCGGTCAAGCCAGCCAACACCATTCCCAATAATCATAACGTTACAGGAAGGCTCAAACACTCTCTAGAGCGTCGACCTGTCGTTCAGTTGAATATTGCTTTCAACAACCGTTGCGTGGGATAGGACCAACAAGCAAACCCAACGTCTCCAGTAGCATAGCCGTGACCGGACCAAACTTCCAAAGCATACACGCAACCCATCTTTTCCATCGTTCCCATCTGCGCCGTCGGGCTGAAGCTGTCCCAAGCAATTGCTTATGGTGGAGCAATATTTGAAAGCTTATCCGATCTACATCAACCCTCAACCCTAGCAGCATGCTAACACTTACCCTGACGTTAATCATGTCCCCACGTCTAGCTTTCCTTTTCTGCTCCGCAGGGCACCACAGGTAGCCGAATAGAGCGGAACTACAGCCCGAACGGGGACTGTATGCCTCCATTCGGATTGAGTGGCCCTGTTCAGTTGTCTCGGCGGATGTGGATCGTAACTAAGCCTCATGTCGATCATCAGGATGGGTAGACTGGGGCTGGCGAAGGACGACGTCGGATGGACGTCCGAGAGTGGATGTTTGTGGGATTTGATGATGAGATGGAAAAGTATAGGGAGGCATTGGGGATGTGATCGACGTTTAGGACGTGGGAGAATGATTACAGTAGACCTGACATGGGAGTAGCGAAAGGGGGAAGACGTACAGAGTCGGTATATCGTACCCCAAGGAAAGCAAAACAGTTTCACTGTGCCATAATCCAGAGACATATAAGATACCTCTTCTTCCCCTCTACAACAGAATCATCATCGCAGTCACTTCATCCTCTAGAACCACATCTTCACTACAACACTACACTCCAATCAAACCAGCCAACCACTCAAACCATCACCAAAATGCAGTTCACACTCGCCACCTTCACTGCTCTTCTGAGCCTCACTTCCGCCGCCGCTGTCACAAAGCGCTACCCCGCCACTCTCGTCGAGCGCCAAAGCGGTATCTGCGGCGGCCTCGCTACACCTCTTTGCTGCCAGACTGACGTCCTTGGTGTCGCCAACTTGAACTGCGCCAACGGTACGTTTTACTTGTATCTTAGCTTATGAAATGAACGAGCTGACAGAGTCATTATAGCTGGCGCCGGTATCAAGACTACCGAGGAGTTCAACGCTGCTTGCGCCAAGGATGGTACCACTGCTCAGTGCTGTGTCTTGCCCCTTGGCGCTGATGGACTGCTTTGCACTGCTGCTTAGATTGTCGATGATATACGAGCTTTACTGTTGAGGCAGTGAACCATCGAGAAGGATTTCTGTTGGACATATGAGATGAGTGATGAGGAGAAGGGATGGCGTCTTATTGTTTTTGAGAGGGAGATTTGTGGATACATTTACCGTTCTTGTTGTTCCTGCCTGTCACTCCTTTGGGTGGAACGTTTTGTACATATATTTTAGTATTGGAAGACCGGTAGAGAAGGTGGTTGTATGATAGAACAACAAAGTTGCTCTCCTGAAAAGCCTTTCTCTTCTTTTGGACTTTACACGTGTGTCTGCAGCAGATTGAGACATGGCTCGATCCGTGGTTCCTGCTCAGATGTGTAAGAAACTTACGCCCGTGTGTTCAAGTTCAAAATTGCAAAAACATGTTCAGACAGGGAACGCGATCTTCTCATGATAGAAACACCCCAGGATAAGATATCATGTATTGCATGCTTCCTAGATGGCACCTAGACAACCACCATGCACGCCGTGATCCAATATCGCATACCCAGATACCCAGCCACGCTTATGCATTCATGAACGAAATTGCCTCCCTCCGTCTACCTCATTCAAACTCCAGACTGTCCCTGACGCACTTCCGCACCCTCTTCTTGAACTCCGGCGTGTTGTCTCGCCACAGGCTCGCGGCTTCGACGTTTGCTGGTGACTCATCGTTCGGACTGGACAGCATGGAGATGACGGAGAGGAGGATGGTCTCGGGCGTTTGAACGGGCGACCAGCGTTCAGCGGCGGATTCGTAACCGTACTTGTCTTCTTCTGGGGGGTGTAGGATCGAGATACATACTTCGCCGTTTTGGTAGACTTCGCGTTGTTAGCAAACTAGGTAATAGGATCATAGGACAGAGACTCACTGTTGGGGTGGAAGATGGGCGTCTCGAAGCGCATCTTTGGCGGTAGAAGAGGGTATTCGCTAGGAAAGGTGAGGCGCGCGCGGAAGAACCCTCCTAAGCATGCTGTCAGTACTGCCGCGGCACTCTGTTAGGGCCATCGCTCAGTCAGTACCTCCGTAGAACTTTGTGTCATCGTCGATCATCAGCATCACCTCCCACTCGAACACATTGCTGTCCACTAGACCACAGCTTATGCCCGATATGCTCTTGTCGTTTTGCATTTGCTTAAGCTGGCGAGCCAGCAGCCCCGCTGCCGCAGACGACGATGCCATGGTATCTCTCTAAGTGTGTATGTAGAAGTGGCGTCCGAAGTTGAACGGTATGCGCAGAGTGAACAGGTGGGGGATGCGACTGGGAGACGCTTATGACATAGAGGCGCAGAGATTGCAGACGTTTTACAGCAATCCTGATACAGTTGTGCCTGCGTGAGAAAGTTTCGTGTGCGCCAGGTCAGTTGCGGAAAGAGGGTAGGTGGAGATTCCAGAGGCGCGTTCGGGCGTAGGACGTGGAGGCCTCTTAACGGCGGGTGTGGCGGGGCAATCTGCGGGCGATCGGCAGGGGCCTATGCGTTGACCGTTGTGAGTATTGGGCTGCTCAGTGAGTAATATAATCGCAGGAGTCAGATTGTATCGTCAGTCGCCCTAGCCGAAGGTGTGGTGCGTGACAGTATATCAAGAAGCAAGTCTGAGTGAGCCTCCAATCGTTGGGGTGCATGTGGCGGTATGCGCCAAGTCGAATATCACATGGCAGGGGTCCCTTAGGATATTCAGGCCTTCCCTTTTGCGTTTGCTCTGCATCGAGAACGGGTACATGCCGAATTCTGGTCCTGGAGGCGTGTGAGAGAGCTGGATCTGGTGCTTGCAAGATCGTGGATGGAACCCAAAAGAGATGAGCAACGTGAGAATCTGGACCTCGGCTTGAAACTCGATAAGCCCTACAACGCCCTTACACCAAAGTAGCTTCGTAGTTGCAAGAAAGATTATTATTTGCTTGTAGGTATACTGATTCAAGATTAAATCTACTGGCCCAATGCCCTTCCGTCTCCATCTGTCCAAACGCCCATGACGCCGTCGTACCATGACCGATGCGATGCCACCCCGAGGACCCGTATCTAGGGTATCATTGATCCAAAGGGATATAGATTGGATAAGAAGAGCCGAAAAGGCGACAAAACGTAAAATCATACAGATCGAGAAGCTTGGATCATCCGAAGATCCGGAGAAAGCCCCATAACCCGGCTCCGCAAAGCACGGGGATGGTGAGATTGTCGTCCCAACCAAAGACGTCAATCGCTTCGCTAGCACTGGCAATGACGCCAGACGCCAGGGACATGGCGCCCAGAGCCCAGTATCCAGTGAGAGAAGCTTGTTTCGGGGACAAGGCGAGAGTCTCCCGCACTTGCGGAGGGAGCGTCAGCGCGCCCTGGAACGCAAAAGCGTGTTCGCCGTGGTTGTATTCTGAGTAGAGAGGCCCTAACCAGCCCCACCATACGACAGCTGTGATGACGCCTGTTACGCAGGCCGCTATGGAGCCCGCAAGACTCTTGCCTTTTCTGACTCTGGGCGTAAGGTGGCCCCAGAGCCTGCCAAAAGTCGAGGCAGCGGTGTCACACCAACTCAACAGTAAGATGCTCATGACTGCAATGTCTTTTGGGCAAAAGCGCATTACAATCCACGCGCCTAGGAGGTAGGAGATGACGCCGTTGTATCCATCTACCTCCGACTCGCGCATGAACGCACCCAGGCAGCGGATATAGAAACGGTTCACTTGCCAGTAACGGTGGCGTATGACGTCGGTCAGGGCGATGGGTATTAGCATGGTCAGGAGGACGTTGTGTATCTGCGACGTTTGCGTGCCGATGCAGTAGAGAAAGATGGTGAGAAAGCCGATAGAGACGTGCAAGATCTTGCGGGGGATCTCGTGCCGGTGGATCTATCAAAGTCAGTAATGGGCCTTGTAGATACGGCGTGCGTACTCACGAATGACCGCCATTTCTGGTGGATGGGAATCAAGCCCAGAGGACTTGGGCTTCTGCTCATTTCCCTCCAGTAATTCTTGTTTGCTTGCGCTGGCGACAGGTGGCCGTTTGAGGTGTTGGCAGGCAGCGTGAGATCCTTCTTCATGCCTCCATTCATCTGCCTTCGGCTCGTCAGGCCACTCATCCTCCGTCTCCCCATGCCTCCATCCAGCTTGGGACTCCGGCTCCTGGCGCGAGCCCTCTTGTCGGGATCTGAGCTGGACGAGTCCTCATCGATGGGCGGAGGTGACGTAATTCGTTGTTTGCGCGTCGACGAGCGCGTTACCGGGCCAAAGTAGCCATCTTTTGTGCTGCCCGCCTCCGAGGGTGTGGGTGACGGCGATATTACGCGCGGCGTGTTGGGTATCTGGTATTGGCGTGAAGATTCCATGGCAGCGCGCCAACAGGTGGGAAAGTAAGGTAAAGTAGGAGCCCGGATGACGCCGGAAAGTGTGGAGCGGGCCCTGGCACACAATAAGGCGATGTTTACAAGAAGAAACTGGTGGTCCGAGGGTTGCGAATATATGTAACGAGGCTGAGTTGGCGCGTCACAGCTAACATACGGGACGGCGGCACTTAAGGTGGCTTCGACATTGATGTCAGCATCAGGTGTGATCACAGACTCATAGCCCGCGGATTCGTCCGGGCAGCGCGCATCGTTTAGGGAGGCAGAAGATGCCACAGTGCGTGCAGGCGACAGCAGCGGTCGTCTTGATTATTATAGGCGGGTAAACAGCGAACGTATTGGGGGGTACGGCTAGGTAATCTTGCTGCATGGAACTGGGAAATTTGATCGCAAGCCTACGCATGTAGTTACGATCCGGTTCTCGCGAATGCGCCTATGATCAGCGTGGCTGCGGATCCGTCTTGGCGATGCGATCAGGTTCCAGTCGTAAGGGGGAAAGGGAGTGTGTTATCATAGCAGAAAGGCGAACCGGGATGCAGCGTATCCTGCCAACACAAGCTTTTGGCAGATGCATTCGAGACGGTGACAAGTGACGATCTCGCGTGTCATCAATCGTGTCTGCCAGTGGGCACTTGTGGCTCATGGCTGTGGCGCGCATAATGTGGCTGTGCGTGGCTCCACTAAAATTTCAGAGTTCGCGCGACTTTTCCGTACGGCCGTCGCGACTTTCCAGCAGCTTCAGAAGACATTAACACAAGTGTTACGTGCATCATGGCACCCCAAACAAAGACAGATCGATCTTTTGGCGCCTTGACGCCCGCCCTGTCAGAATGGATACTCGAGGCTGTGGATTCCATGGGCTTTGTGAAAACTACGCCTGTACAACATGCTGCCATCCCCATGTTCATGAAGAACTCTGATGTTGTAGTCGAAGCCGTTACAGGAAGTGGAAAAACTCTAGCGTAAGATTCGCATCACGAAATCTCATTTTTGTCTAACAAGCTACTAGTTACCTGATACCCATTGTTGAGCGCCTGCTGCGGCTTGATGCGCCCATAAAGAAGCATCACGTGGGTGCCATTATCATCTCACCAACAAGGGAACTTGCAACACAAATTCACACTGTACTATCGTCACTTCTGAGATTCCATGCGCCCTCCGCAGCCCTACTGGATCCCGAGGATGAAGACACCGACATGGAGGACGCCGATGCTCCACCAAAGCCGACCTTCCCACCAGGAACCTTGAGGGTCGTACCCCAGCTACTCCTTGGAGGATCAGTAACGCCAGCTCAGGATCTTAGTAGATTTCTCAAGTCATCTACCAACGTACTTATCGGTACACCGGGACGTCTACTGGAACTCCTCTCCTCGCCGCATGTGCATTGCTCACAGTCATCCTTCGATGCTCTCGTACTGGATGAAGCCGACCGTCTTCTGGATCTTGGCTTCAAGGACGACCTACAGAAGATTCTCTCCCGACTACCAAAGCAACGCCGGACCGGTCTCTTCAGTGCTAGTGTTTCCGAGGCTGTCGACCAGTTGATTCGTGTTGGTCTCCGAAATCCTGTCCGTATTGCAGTCAAAGTCAAGGCGCGAGCTGCACCCAATAGTGCGACAGGAGAGATGGGCGCCATTGAAGACAAGAAAACACCAGCAAGTTTACAAATGTCCTACCTTACCGTACCCGCTTCGCACAAGCTACCTGCAATTAAGAAAGTGCTCTCGTCCTTAGAACCACAGCCGCAAAAGTCCATCATGTACCTGGCGACATGCTTTTCGGTGGACTACTTCCAACACATCTTACCCGAAGTCCTCAAAGGGTACACCATCGTGCCTCTGCATGGCAAACTGCCGGACAAAGTCAGAAATCGCAACTTCATCAAATTCGTCGAGAGCGTCACACCGTCTATCCTTCTCACCACAGATGTCGCTGCACGTGGTCTCGATATCCCCTCGGTGGATCTTGTTCTTCAACTAGATGCCCCAAGCGATCCCAAGACTTTTATCCATCGTTGCGGACGCGCAGGCCGAGCGGGCCGCAAGGGTTTAGCCATTACATTCCTCAGCCCAGGACGAGAAGAAGACTACATTGAGTTCCTCCGAGTTCGGCAGACCCCTGTATCGCCTTTTACTACACCTGATGTTACAGTAACCGCGGAAGAAGCAGCAGCCATGAGCAACCGGATACGGAAGGTAGTCAAGTCCGACCGAGCACTATTTGACAAAGCACAGCGGGGATTCGTTTCATGGGTCCGTGCCTATAGCAAGCATACCGCGAGTTCCATCTTCCGTATTCCAGATCTCGATTGGACAGAGCATGGTAATGCCTGGGGTCTGCTCAAGCTACCCAGCATGCCGGAACTGAAAAAGTGGGAAGGAGACCGAAGTCTGGGGGTGGAGATGGATTTCAGCACCTATGCATACAAGGACAAAGTGCGGGAACAACAACGACAGACCGAGCAGAGTGAATACGAGGCAAATAAGGCTGAGGGCAAGAAGCGATATGTCACAGAAGACAAGAAGGCCTCGGCATGGACGCAGCAGAAGGACCAGAAGGCGCTCAAGGAACTACGAAGAGAGAAGAAGGCAGCAAAGCGCGAGCATGATCGTGTGGCGGCGTTGACGGAAGACGAAAGGAAGGAGGAGCAAAGAGTGAAGGGTATGATTGAGCAGGTACGGAAGAAGGTAGCAGCGAAAGAAGCACAAGAGGCGGAAGATGTGTTCGAAGGGTTTAGCGATTGATTAGGGTATATACCTGGAGTTTAAGGAACCTAATGTGACGGTTTTCTGGGTATTCAGGCGCCTGGCTCTTATACTATTGCAAGAATTATCCAGCCGGACTACTGAGTAGTCGACAGACATCACTTTGCAAGCTCTATCTACTCATCCTCTGAGAGGTTGAAATGGACCAGTGATCATGACCATTTGAAGCTCGGATCTTGCGACTTTCTTTCTAAACCCTACCCAGCCGCTGAGTAAGGTCGTCCACATTATGTCACGCCTTCTCCTTTCTCGTGCCTTCTGGTCTTCGGCTCATGCTCCAGGTCTCTTTCCGTTCCCTCTCTTTCACCTTGTTTTCTTCAGCTAGGTAGTCTTTGGCTTTTGGACTTCCCGCCTTCTCGTAGAGCGTACTAATGACATGAACAATATCTTCCTCCTGCAGCAATGGATCTTTAGTCTCTCCGTCTCCCAGTTCAGCCAGACGCGCCTTGACGGCCTCAATGACGTAGGCGCGCACCTTACGTGCTGAACCATGGGTAAAAGAAGAAAGGACGGTGAGGAGACTGAGGACTTTGGGAGACACGTCTTTGGGGTCGTCGGGCATCATGGAAGCTGGCAGGAAAACCTCCCACTTCCAGTTCCAATTGTAGAAGATTGCCATACCGACATCGGGTTGGGTGCACATCTGTTCGGGATCACTGACGAGGATTTCCTGTACCTCCTTTTTGACGGTGGCGTATGGGCGCGTGATGCGGATGATGTTGGTTTGAACGAAGCCACCGGTGTTTGCGCCAGCACTGGAAACACACGTGATGTGGGCGCACCTTTGTTGATCGTTAAGGTCCTTACTTCCGGTTAGCTATCGGTACTTCTTTTTTCTGCCAGATGTTCCATACCTCCCATGCCAGTCCAACGCCATCAGTCATCCAGTCTACGTTTGCGCTGTCCTCGCCGTTGTACATGATGCAGTTCCATGGCTTGTAATATTTCATGGTCTCGTCTCGACTGATAGCAACTTGTACAACCTGTCCCGATACGCAATCGCGAAGGTTATCGATTGGTTTGGCGCGGATGTCGTAGACCGCAGCGTAGTTGGTTCTGAATATCGAACGAATATCGTAGAGGAGATTGAAGTGCTTGTCGGGATTCCGGATCATGAAATCCTTCTTAGTCTTTTCGGTCGAAGGGCAGTGAAGAGTGAATTTGATTGCCATGAAAGCGTTGGTGTCATTACATATTTGGTTTGGATGATGAGCGCCAAGTGGTTGGAGGAAGGATAAAAGGACAGTAAATTGGAAAGAGAAATAAAGAACAAGAGGACAAGTCACAGGAACTGGAGCACTTGTGACAGGTTTTCCGGCTTGTGGGCGAGTGGCTCTTGAGCGTTTGCGGTGCGCGAGATTGGACGCAGCGATACGTCACTACTATATCGCGAGCGCTCTCAGACCGACGAGACTTCACTGCTGGCGGACCGTAGAGAACTAGCAGTCGCCTTCCGATTTTATCCCCTTAGTTTCAAGATAGCTCAAAGTCCACTGAATTGCCTGGAATTCCTCAACGTAATCCAATAGAGTATATTCTACTCCCGCACGCAGGTGTTTAGCGCCTAACAGCACTACTGGCGGAATCATATAACACGAGTATGTTTGAACGTGTGTTTGATCTTGGGAGGCTGGCCTTTATTGAAGAGTGCGTGATGAAAGAGCACATGATGTCAGGTGCTGTCCTGTACGGAAATCTTTCTTGTTGACTGTTTTGGAGTCCTTGAACGACCTGTCTGCAGCTCAATGTGTACAGAGCCATTAGTAAGACTATGTTTCACGGACACATGCAGGGTTAAGTCACGAAACTGGTTATAGCCAATTCCTGGACCAAGTCCGTCTGCGCAAACCACACAACACGTGCCACTACCCTAATGAGCCTTCGGCTTTCCGTGAGTGATGGCAGTGCGCCTATTGTAGACTCGTCCAAACACTTTGGTTGTGACTCGAAATGATTTGATGACTCCAGAGCTCACGAAATATCTAGAATCGCAGCCACTGAAAGTCATCATGAGCAAGCACCAAATTGTGTCCCTCGCCCCAAATTTGCCCTTCGGTTGCGAATCGCAGTGATCCAATCTGGATTAACGGAAAGAGCTGGTCGCAGTGACTTGCATCGAACGCTTTAAAGTTGTTCGACGTAGTCTGCAGGGTGTTGCGCATGGTGTTATGCAATTTGCGAGCCTCTATCTGGTCGACGCGAAGCCTCCGTGATAAGGTTATGGGGTTATGACCATTTCCTCCGAGCGCAACCACTTTTGTTGGGGTACGCAAATTCAGTATCATGCGTTCGGTGTACAGAACACTGAAGTGAGGGTTGCCTTGGAACAGCAGATTCGCGAGCGTTTTCAGGAAGATGGCGATGTAGTCGAAGAGTTGCTTGGCAAAACAAGTAGGGGAATGTTCTAACAGATGAGCCAGCTCATGTTCATGGGGTACGAAGGACTCGCGAGGCCCGTCTCGGAGAGGCTCACGAGTGCGCAAATCGACATTGATGAGAAGTTGGTTGAAGGTAGGCGAAAGCGCCGCAAATTGAACCCAGCTCAAGGAGAAGTACGGCCGACCATGCGAAAATGTGATGTCGAATTCATAGTTTAGGCGTTTTGCGGCGACCAAATGTTGAATTGCCTGCTTAAACTCTCCATGGATCTGGCGACATACGCGCAGCAAGCCGCGATAGCACCGAAGCGGTAGATCGTTCCTCACATAATGCTCTGACACCACCATAACCCCACGGAAAGATCGCCCTAGCTCTTCACCAAGTAATATCTCGTATACATGGTTTCGAAGTTCAAGGGGTAGATCCAAAAAGCCTGGCATGTCGCTGGGTGCCAAATGTGCTGATGCGCCTGTCGAAGATCAGGGTCCAGCGGCACACGGAAGTTCGGAAGCGAGACCGAAGGATCGCGAGTGCGGTACGCTGCTGAAGTCGCTGCTTGCGGAACCAAAATGTGCGTGAGCAGAGGCGTGAGAAGGAAGCTGACGTAACCAGGAACAGTGAGATATGGTTTGGAAATCAGATGAAGTGAGATTTGTGGGTTTTCGACGCGGTTCAGCGTGTGAAACCGATCGGTCCGTGCTGCCCACGTGATTGGATCTGGGCTCATTGATTTGCGACGGCGCCGCGACACCGTCGTCATCGGCGAACCGTTGCGCTACTGGAAATGGTATCTCGCAGCAGCTTCATTGTTGTGCCACATCCGATACGTCGTCGCGTACATGGATGACTACGAGCTGGATCGCATTGCATCGGATAACCCTGCTCTGACTGCGCCTGCAGCACAGCGGGCTCCCATACGACGCCTCAAGTCTCAAGGCCAAACGACGTCGAAATCCCAATCTACTGGTTCTCAAGCTACGCCTGCGCCTCTAGAGCTGACCAAGTACGATGTATGTGTTCGATGAAACGGTACCATAATCCTGCGCTGAACAAACGTAGGTCGGGTGGCGGAGGATCGTCCGAAACTTTTCGCCGTCATGGTTCTCCGTGACTATGGGCACGGGAATAGTATCTCTACTTCTCGTGGCTATACCGTTCAAAGCAGACTGGCTCTATTGGCTTGCCGTGATCTTCTTCGGTCTCAATACTATCTTGTTCGCATCCGCCTTCTCGGTCTCGGTCTTCCGATATGCTGTCTATCCTGAGATATGGACCGTTATGATCGCGGACAGCGTCAATTCGCTCTTTCTTGGAACCATCCCGATGGGATTTGCTACCCTCATCTCAGCTTGGTGCTCAATATGTATTCCATACTGGGGATCTTGGGCCACCACCTTTGCTTGGGTTTGCTGGATGATCGATTCTGTAGTCGCTGTGTCTGTCACAATATCGCTCACCATTCTGCTGATATCTGCATCCGACCGACAGGCTTTGGATCGTATTACTGCAGCTCAACTACTACCCATCGCCGCGTCTATCGTTGCGGCCGGTACTGGTGCCAGAGTCGCCGAGCACCTGCCCAACCCGCAACATGCGCTTGGTACGATCATCGCATCATATGTCATGTGGGGCATGTCTACGCCATTAGCGATGACTGTCTTAGTCATGTACTACACACGTCTGGCTTTACATAAACTACCACCACGAGAGATTGTTGTATCGTCTTTTCTGCCACTGGGTCCGTTGGGTATGGGCGGTTATTCGATAACATATCTTGGTATGGTGAGCCGACGAGTATTCCCAGAAACGGAGTTCTTCTCAGATATCCCTGTGGCAGGCGATATATTCTTCGTTGTCGGGATTTTCATAGCACTCATAATGTGGGCGTTTGGGCTGACTTGGCTCTGCTTTGCCCTGGCATCTATCTACAAGTCACGCCCGTTTCCGTTCAACATGGGCTGGTGGGGGTTCACCTTTCCTCTTGGCGTCATGGCGCTTAGTACGATGGAACTTGGAAACATCTTTCCGAGTCTGTTTTTCAGGGTCTTGGGGACGATCTTTGCTGTTGCCGTCATTCTACTATGGTGCGTGGTAGCTGTTGGGACAGCACGAGGTGCATGGAGTGGCCGTCTATTCAACGCGCCATGCCTCAAAAATTTACCCAAAAAAGATTCTTTAGGACACGATGAAACCGAGAAAGAGAAGGGGCCAGTGCAAACATGACCATGTCTTTCTATGATGGTGGCAATATTCTGTTTCAGGGTGAAGACAACAAACGGGTGCGAGAGAGATGATCATATATCGCGTTGCATTTCATCGTAATAGTTTACTTGCTGTGCAGCCCTCCTGGAGCAAAGCACCCAGCCTCCTGCTCTTCGTCCTACGGCTACACAACCCCCGAAGCCCTCCAATACGCTATCGCGAACACTGTGCTAGGCCACTCAGGCGCTTGCAGCTGTGCATTGATCTACCACTGATTAGCTTCAACTCCAAACTTCGGCACTGTTTAACTAACCTTTCTGTGCCTGGCACTCCTGAGTGGAAAAGTTTCCATTTCCACCATTGGCCAAGTTCGCACAGCCGTTGAACTGTTGGTCGCAAGACCGCTGCAGAGCACCTGAAAGGTTGACAAAGGTGTCGCCCTTCACACTGAAGGGGCGGTTCGCGATACCGGAATCGAGTACAGGTGTGGCTGCGACACCACCGAGAGCGCCGGTGAAGGTTTGTGCATTGTTCTGGCGGACCCAGACAGCGCGTGCGTTGGTAAGAGCGGCGATGCCGAGAACAAGAAGGGTGCTGGTGAACTTCATTTTGGTAGAATGGATTGTACGGTATAGACTGTCGAAAAAATTGGGTATCTTAATATTGTATTGAACGAATGGGGCGGCCGAGCGCTGGAGAAGAGAATGACACGAAGTGAATGTAAGTTGAATGAGTGTTAGCTTGATGATGGAGTTCTATCAAAAGCCTCTCATTATATATATATATTTCCACAGCATCTACATCTGTATCTTCAACGCGGCTCGCAAAATGAGTAGGCAGAGCTGCAATGCCGATGTGTTCATGTTCCATGGTCGTGCCTCAGGCACCTGAAACCCCTCAAGTCTTGGAACCGACACACCAAATGCTTCATTGCCTTATAACCGGCGACGCGACAAAACAACTGCACCACTCGAGTTACTGCTGGAGACGATAATGTTTACAGCTCAGGCTTGACAGGTGGTGACAGCTGCTTGCAGCCATCATCCTGGATTTCGGTAGCCGCGTGGACGTGGCGTCATTTGTCTCGCGTTGCTTCGTATGGTGATCCTTTCTGCGTCGTTATCATATGTGATACGCTATAGTGTTCGAGAATGTCATTGACCACGTCGGAAACATAGATTCGAGCTGTATAGGCGATAATAGAGGCATGCAGGCGCCGTGCGGATTGTCGCGGGACCCGACGCACAATATCCCGAGTCGTAGTGAGACAGTTGAGCTTCGTGGAACGCTATGGTACATATCCATCCTTCCGAGCATTATAACTGTGAAAATTGTTGGATTCCTTCACTGTCTTACGATCTCAGATGTACCATCGCTTTCTGTCTAACCTTCCCACACTTCCCATATCGGACCTTGCAAACGCTATCGCGCCTACCGCCTCATCTGGGCAGACATCCCCTATTCGTACGGGATAGTCGCGCAACAACGCTGTTCTTTCCAACCCACTCAGCGTAGTTCCACCTGTAGGAGTCGGGAAGTAAGGGTTCAACAGCGTCAGCGAAGATGCGTAACCGATGATATCCGGTACGAGCGTAATATATTTAAGAACAAGTCCCGAATAGGCCGCAGCTAGCAGTACAATCGAGCAAACCAATAGCGCTGTGAGCCATTTCCAGTTCGTTTTGTAGATGGGTTTTGTTTTCTGCAATACGTCGGCATCGGTCGCGACGAATTTCACGCTAGAGACCGAGTCGGTGGTCTGCGTAGTGTTCAACCAGGCAGTCTCCATTACAGATGCTGGCAGATTTCCACCGAGCGCTCGCGTGCCATAAGTAGATTGCCAGAATGTGTTGTACAGGATGGTCAATCGCTCGCCAAAAGCCTGTGGCGATAATTTGTAAAGTTCGACGTTGACAAAACCCAGACCGATGAAGTTGGATGGATCACCTATCCATTTCTCCATTGTCGTCGAGCCTTTATGATACCTTGGCGTTTCTGTCTTGTAGAAGTCGAGGCTCGGCATTACTCCAAGTAGGGTCGAGGTAAATCTCCGGATAACAATGTCGTAACCAATCGGATAGTCTTCATCGAGCAATCCCAACTTTCTCATCTTGTAGACGGCACAAGACGTCCCGTTGCAGCGCACTCCAGCTTCATACTTGTCGAACGAAAGCTCACAGTTGGCTATCGAGAATTTGTCTTCTCTATCTTGGGCGACAGATTCACTCCGAATCGGACAGGGGTAGCCATAACACCACGGGGTGGGACAGTCTGTTGCGTTGTTCCTGCAAGGCGGCTGTGTATCGTTGTACATCTGGAGTTGCCATGAGAAATCATCAGTGAAATCCGCCGGTTTGTCTGTTGGCCCTTCGTTGCTCAGGCACTTCAAATCCCATTGTCGAGCTTCTATGTTGAAAGAGGTGAAGCCAACAGATGGTGGTCCAACAACCGGAATACCAATCAGAGAAGCGTAAGTAATATTGGCGGCGGTAGAGTTGGGGACCAACTTCCACTCATCAGGCGTGCTGTTCTCGATAGTACGATAGAGCGGAAGCTTGACGTTCCCCCATAGGTCCATGGGTGTACTCTGGTATCTGGTGCTGCTGAGTATAGCTGCGAGCGTAATGGGCGTGTAGGTGTTACGGCCAAGTTCTGTGAAAAGAGTAGGTATAAAGTCAGTGGGTGTCTCATACCGTGTTCGTATATGTACACTTACCGGCGTAAGAGGTACCACTCATCATAGAATCCATGATCGTCATAGGACTCATGTAGCGTATTTGGCTAGTAAAATGAATGTCTCCAACTTCTTGGTTCAGCAGCCGAAGCGCGGATTGTCCACCCACTGGCGAAAGAAGCCAAATCAAGACAGATGCTAGCCCAACCATAGACCAAGACCTCAGGCAAATCTGACGCTCGAGTGCGGAGAAGACGGACTGGCAGCCAATCAGTTGTTCAAGACGACCAAGAGTTGTGCCTCGCTGAGCCAGCCAAAGTCCGAGGTGTCGAAAGAACCTTCCCATCAAAGCCGCAAAGATAAGTGGGAATATGGTCGGCGAAAGAAGTAGGGTTTGTTCCAGCTTATGACCATAGTCTGACACTTCTTTTCCGTTCAGCCTAACAGCGACAAAAGCGAGTGCTATACAGTATTAGCACTTATTTCATGTGACCGCTCCCAGTTCGTAATGGGGGAATAACGACATGCCAAGACTGGTGGTACTCACCTAAAAACATAATGGGCGTCGATGCCAGAACCACATCGAATACCATGATCAGTACTTTCAGCGGTGTGATCGTCGCTACTTTCTGTGAACGCGATGGCCATTTCTGTACTCGTGTTTCGTGAGATGTGTCCTTGTTGTCTTTCACACCGTCTTCCCCATCGTGATCTCGTGAATCATCCGAGCTGTTGCTATACGACCCAGCATCATATTGGATGCTCAACGCGTCCTCCACCGACACACGCGGACCTTTAATGTTGTGTCCAACAGGTTCGTACGCCATGACGTTCAGAGTTGCGGTAAGATGTAGTGGGCAGAGCTCTGAGAATGATAGGAACGGCGGATCGAGAAGGAATGCGTTCAAGAAGTGCCCCAGTACCTAAGTAACTGGGTACTCAGGTACCAACAATGCAGGACGGGGCGTAAGATATGCAACCATGCCTCCCTTGCGTCCGACATGGTGTAGCCTGCGGTGGGCACGGCGTTTCGCCGAAGGATGAGAACCCTGCTTCGCTGGAGCAGACGCGTTAAGCGGCTGGCTAGGCATACTTTCTCGAACCTGGAGCATTGTGACATGTACGCGCCCGGACTGAGCTAACCGTGACGCGCCATGCCGACTTGATTTTCGCCACTAAGCCGCTAGCGTCATCTGGAAATAGTTTAACGCAAGGGTCATGATATCTGCACTTGCAGAACGGCGGACATTGAACACTTGTATGCATTCCCCACAATCCCCAACCGTACCATCGGCACCACAAGACTCGACTACAAGTAATCTGTATCTGTGGTACACGTCTCCATATTTTAAGCAGATCTAGCGCGTGCGATGTTGCCAATATCGCGTATTGGTCAACCCGCCCGATGAGGATCACCGCTTTTCTTTGGTCAGCTGGAATTGGAACCCATATTCCACGCCGCACGGATAGAAAACAGGTTAGAGAAATGATGGGCCTGTCAAAGAGACAATGGCCAATCTTCTTGGTGCCTTCCCCACCTGGCAACTGGTTGCTATGACATCGTTGTACTAACTCCTTCTCAGCACATCTCGCTCGCAGTTTGCAAAGATTTTAAAGGCGTCAAATGGTCAGAACTCGATCCTAAAAAGAAGGAAGATATCTTCCAAGAAATCAAGGATGCCATGCGAAAGAGCAAGCTTCCGGCAGTAGATGACCAGGGAATCGAGTGGCGCGTATCATCAGTCCTGCCCTCGCTACGGCACATGCAGCGCTGTATGCACATCTACAGTGTTCAATATAGCTTTTTGCTGATTCAATTACAGTTGCAGATCGTTTCAAAGATTGGCAGAATATGGCTGGGACAAAATTCCCCCATGTGAGTACGATGCTGTGAATATGCTTAATAAAGTCGAGCGCTGTCCTGGTTCTGACAAAATCTCTAGAGAGTATTTCGCGAGGCGATTGATGCAAAATTTCGAGGGATTCATGCGAAAAGAGAAGACCTCCGCTGCTGGACGCAGATTCCCGAAGAAATACGACTTGAACTTGCTGCAGAAAGTAACAAGCGACTTGTTCAGCTTGGGCTTCCTACGATGGATGAAGAGGTCGTGTTGGAAAAATTAAGAAAGTGCATGAACCATTGGATGAAGGATCAAACTAAGTTCATGCCTCGGTAGTGTAATCGCAATTTTTCCAAAGAGCTGTTGCTAGTGGGCTTGACTGGTTCAAACAAGAGCAGCCAAGGACAGACTTACGACTAGCTTCAGAACGGCTACTGTGTATCTCAGGGAACGTTTCACATTGTATTACCTGTAGTACAACAGCGTAAAGCCATCTTGACCTCTCTCCGACCATATATCCTGGGTATCGATACTCTCCACTCCTGCTGTCATCCTTCAGAACCGAATCGCAACGCAGAGCGCGTCCTGGACGACCAACCCTGCGCAAGTGAGGTCAGAGGCGGCGACTCCGTCCAAACGATGACCTTCCCTTCTCCCTTGCTCACCGCATCCAACCAACCCCTGAACTCTTTCAGATCAACTCGATATCCCTCAATAAGTGGTATACTTCCCGCCTTTTCCAATTTCACAACCGTTCTCTTCAGCGTCTGCGCACCCTCCTGTGGCAGGATGCTCGATTCCTCTACTTCCGTTGAACCTGCACTGCTCGAGACAGAGCGAATCTCACGATGGAGATGCTTCTGGCCACGGCTCGGGCTGATGAGGTTCTGTAGAGAGGCCAAGCGTCTTATCGGCTGCTCAGGTGGTGCAGGCGTCGCAGGTGGTTTGCTGAGAATAGGTTCATGGTTGTCGGGAAAGACGGTGTGGAGACAAGTCGATGTGTCAGTAACAGCGGAAAGGTGCCACGCGAGCATGACGTGGGGCGGAGTTTCCTCTTCTGAAATCGCATGTTCTTTGATAAGAACATACGCCCATCGTCCTTCTCCACTATCCGCAAGATGTATCTGATCCCGGTATACTCCCAATGTTCTTTTTCGCTCTCCATGTTTGGATCCGATGCCCAATCTCCGTTTCATAGCCTGCGCCTTTGAAGGGTGTTCCTGCTCCTGCGCGTTGAAAGTGACAACTTCCTCCTTGCTGCGGAAGACATCAACCTCTGCATAGCCAATTTCAGCCATATCGCCTGGGCCCAGGAACCGGATGTCCTTGTGTGGAATGAAGCTAGTGTAGTAGAAACCGACGGAGATAAGGCGGTTGTAGGCTGGTGGAGTAATGCGGCGTGGAAAAGCGGCATGTATGGGGAAGGTCTTCGGGTCCGGAAGGCGCCGGTAGAAGGACTGCATTGCGTGCGACCAGGTCAGGAGGATGGTGAGTAGGGCGGGGGTATATCCCGGGAAATCGACTTCCCACAAAGCTGAGGATGATGCGGGCAAGGTTGGCAGACCGGTAGCCTTCTTATTATCTGAGTGGATGTCTCTGACGTCTGGTCGGAACAACTCGTCTGCTGCTTGAGGTATCAAGCGCTTCTTGGACGGCGCAAGTTTAGTTGGCGACGGAGATTGGACGACAATGTAAGGTACGCTAGATGTAGGTGGTTGACGGAACAAGTTCTGGAAACATGCGCTGTCTCGCGAGGAACTAGCTGCTGGAGTAGGTTGACATGGTACCATATGTTGCTATGAAATGCCCTTGCTCTCGTCCCAAGACTGTGCACCGACGCGAGGAGAAGGGAAGAGAGGCTTGATACGAGATATACCCTTATGACTGGAGAGACTTTCTGACCTAGTGTTGTAGTTGTACGCATGTCTTGAACCGCTTGCCTCAATGTCATCGCTACCCACGTTGGGATTTGCATTAGAGTACGCTGGCACATGCTGTTCTTCAAATGCATCCATTTGCTTCTTGAAGGCGGCGAGCGAAGGTGTATCATACGACGCGCGCACAGGCTGAGATCCATTTGATGACATTGAGTTGGCTGCAGGGCCTTGAGACGTCATGCGAGGTGGTGAGGAGCCAGAAGCTTGTTGGCCAGACTGAGTTGAAGTCCATGTAGCCTTGACCGGACCCTCGTGCTCTTCTCTTATTTCCGGCAGGCGTTCTTGCATACTTGCGGCCTGACTGAGCACATCCAACCCCATACTTTGCACCCTGTGGTCCAAGCCATACTCTTTCATCCCGACAACAAACTCTTGCTTTAGGACTTTCGGCATCGCAGGCGGAGTAACGAAAGGGACCGGCTCTGCTGTTCCTACAAAGCGCTTTAACCTCTTTCCTGCCTCGATAGCGCGAGTGATACCAATGCCGCGAATGGTTCTGCTCTTCTCAGGTGTCTCGGGCTGGTGATTGTCGTGGATATTCGGAAAGTTTCGCTGATAATTCGGCAAAGGTGTACAGGGCTCGAAATCAAACCTTGTGTACCGTACGGGGTCCATGGTAGGTGTTGGGGGTGCTATATCGCTAGCGGCCCTTCTGTCAGTAGCTTCCAATATAAGTGTGAAGTTGCTCAATGAGAATATTGATGAATACGTGGAGCTGGGCGTATGGAGCTCAGAAAGATTGATTGGAGTCTGGAGGTCAGCATCGTCGGTCGGTTGCGGGCTCGTTTCCTTACTCTTGGCGTCGTCTTCGGGGCGGTCGGCCATAGTGAAGGTGAAAGTAAGAAGGATCTAGCGCAGCTTTCTACCTAAATTCCTCCAGACACCTCCGTAGGATATGTTTTTGAAAGCGACTGCTAGACTTCGATATTGTGAGGTATTGAGTATGGGTAACGGTAACTGAGAAGGCCGTTCTGGAGATGAACAAGAGCTCAAGCAATATTGTCAAATGCAAGGTGACTGACCAATGAATCTGGTACGAGAGAGAGAGAGAGAGAGTAAGAAGAGATCCAACGCGAAGCAGGGAAAAGATCCAATTACCATTATGACTCCCTCAAAGGTGTCTAACTATACTATCAAACGTGGTATCATGTCGTCTTATCCAAAGCTCCATTCATATCCCGCTATTTCGTCTCAAGGAGAAAGAACTACTCCGTGGTGGAGAAGACATACTCAGCCTCGAGCGTGTAAGCTGGGCTAGCGGGGCCGAAAATCTGCCTGTCTTCACGCATCCATTCAGGGTGGTTGATAGCGTCGATCCAGTCCTGGACCTCCATGACAATGCAGCCGTACTTGGGGACCAATCCACTGCCTCCCTCAGCGCCTTGAGTAGACTTGATGGGAATGGTACCTGTAACGTTGTCAATAGTTATCAAAGCATTCCAAAGGATCTAACATACCATCTTGGCCGGGGCAGCTGTACATCTGGAAAGCCTCTTGGTCGGAGTAGATGTCGAGCTTGATACCAGACCACTCACTAGACAAAGAAGCGACAGGTCCAGAGTTGCGCCAGTCCAGAGTCTCAGCTTGGTTGCGGTTGACAAGGTAGCAGGTATCGTAACCAGTGCAGTTGAAGCCGCAGTTGCCAAGAAGCTCGGGCGCAGTCTGGTTGGCGCCGATCTGCTTGGGAGCCGACCAGAAGTCGTTGACTGAGTATTGCTCGTTAGGAAGGATAGTGCCGGTAGGGATGAGAATATTATCCACATCCATACGTTGGCCAGAGTAGGGGATGTGGAAAGTGTGGTTTAGCGCGGTCTCATCATCAGGGTTGCCAAATCCATCCAAATTCCAGTAAGTCTATTCTGATCAGCCTCGCCTTGATGTGCCAAAATACTAGTCTACTTACGTGGGAAGTCAGCATGATGGGTGTCTTCTTGGTGGTAGCAAGAGCCACAATCTTGATGTTCCAGGTGTATGGGGTCATGGTGTAGGTGACGTAGCTCACGACCTCACCAGGAAAGCCTTCCTTGCCGTCAGGATCGACAATAGAAAAGGTGATGGACTCTTGGGTCTGCGACACAACGGTGAAGTTGCGGTAGTCCCATCCGTCTGGTCCACCGTGAAGAGTGTCGTTGTTGTTGTTCTCATTGGGCTCGATGTGGAAGGTCTCGCCGTCAATGGAAAAGGTAGAGTTTCGAATACGATTGGCGTAACGACCGGGCACACCACCAAAATGGGGATGAACCTCACCCTCGTATGCAGTCGCGTTGTCGAAGCCGAGAACGATATCGCGCTCAACACCATCCTTGCCCTTGACGAACAGATTGGAGACGGACGCGCCATATGGGATAAAGTGACCACGGATACCCTCAGACGAGATCGTGTACTTGCCGTCCTTGTCAGGTCCAAGAGACGAGCTGTTCTGCGCAAAGGCAGCCGCAGCAAACAGAGGGAGTACAGTTGAGAACCGCATCGTGACTTGCCAAGCTCGAGTGAGTTGAGAAGTGGAGGTGATGTGATGTGGTGTGGAGAAGAGTATGGGGTTGAAGGGCGGAGAGTGATTAAATACTACAGGGACAGACCATCGGCGCAATTACCGTTCCACGATCCTGTGACTAGGATGCCATCCCGCATACTCACTTCTCCAGCCTCCGGGTTTATGGTGCTAACGGGGTCGCACTGGGGAAAAGGGCGGGTCGCCGCTTGAGGGTAGCGAACGTGCGCTTCCCCGCAAAGGCCTCCATGGGTGTCAATTCCCCAGGAACACGGCTATGACGAAACCGGCCCGCACAAGCTTGCAGAAGCTGCACACCAGTCCCTTTCGTGCCATGAAGCGCAAAGATCAGCTGTCGCACAATATTGTCGCTCTCAATTGCACTTGCTCTTCTTTCATCTGTCGTACCGTGAGGCATCCAGCTCCCTTGCAAGCTCGAAGCCTCGGTCGTCATAGCTCTAAAATCGCGACTAAACAATCTCACTCGACAAGGATCAGTAGAGCAAAAGGCACCGGCAGAAATCACCATTCGCGGAAAATCGCGGAAAAAACTAAGCGCGCCGCTTTGACAGGCAAAGGTCATGGATATAGCTTGGTTGTTGATGTGGAGAGCGGCTGGTGTTGCCCTTGCGAATGAGCTTACCCGTTGAGGCGGAAGCTTGACCACGCCACAGGTCGTATATGCACGCTCGGGATGGTATACTGAATACAGGAATTATGCCGCCATCGTTCTTTGTAGCGACTTACGGATATTGTGTTTCTATCTAAGCTTCAGGATACAATACACAGCTGGCAGGTCTTGAAATAGGCCACGCCATGTCTCGTTCTTTTAACAGTTGTCATCTGATTAGATGGCCCGAGCTCTCTTTCGTCGTACTCCGCATACCTAGTTCCACACTTGAACCTGCTTACATCTTACATTCATAGAATCGTCGCACCTATCACCTGCTCATCTGCGTCCGCACATCAAAAAGGTTCTAGGTCGCCTTTCCTACAACTGACGGCCTTCTTCGTCTGGACCAGGCGAGGAAGGTGATCGGAGAGTCGCGTGGCCTCGGTTGGCACCAGCGTACACCAAATCGCGGTCATTACCCCGGTGTGAATCAGCAAAAGAACGTGTAGGCAGAGTGTATGGGTACAGCTCGTTGAGACCCGGCAGAGCCATGTTTACTGGTACTTGAGTACCTTGGAGGCCGAGTCCATAGCTAGTGTACGGATGTTGTCGGTCGTGAGCAAAAGGCTCGACAACGTGATCATCACAAGCACTTTGCCAGTTGGTAATATACTGCTTGTTGTCTTCCGCTGCTGCTGCTTGGGCGTCGAGATGAGAGACGACCGAGTCAATACGTCCTTGCGGTCGTGGCGCGTCAATTTCGGAGGCGACGTTGACAGCAGTGAGCAGGTTGTCCAAACTTGTTCGAGTGGGAAGCTGGTGAGAACGGTAAGAGCTTAAGCCTTCGAAATAGGGCTGGTTCTCCTGGTATTGATGAGGGGTATCGGCAACGGTTAGAGAAAAGTCTTTCGATTCAGGTACCATCAAGGGCGCCATCGGAGCCTTATATGCTGACACATTCCTCTTGGATGCAGCTGAGGGAGCCTGTTCTAACGGACGTGACGGAATCATGCCTCCTTTGCAGCTCGGGTGTTCGTTCCAGCTTACGCTCGGTTTGTTGTTCTTCGCCCAGCAGCCGGTAGTTGTTTCCAGGTTGTCAAGCTTGTTACCCCAGTGATGCTTCTTGACCCGAGATCGGCTGGAAAAGCCCTTGCCACAGAGACTGTGGATGTAGGGCCCACGTCCATGTGATGATTTGTTTTCGTCCATGACCCTCTTCTTCGGCTTGGGTAGAACAAATGGTTGGTCGACGGTTGTGGTTGATGTTGAAGTAGGACTAGCAGTCGGGGTAACATCTTCACTGATATCCTCCTTTACATCAACTTGAACTCTTGAGCTTTCACGACAACGCTTTTTCGACGGTGGTGGCATATCATTGATGGCTTTTCCAATGGGGACAGCAACCGGAACTCCGAGCACAGAAGGGCTGGTGGTCGCCACTTGCCCCTCCTCTGGCGAAGAATTTGGAAACAGGTGAGTTTCGCGAGAAAGAGATGGAGAGTCGAAGTGATTGCTGGCGAGAGGCTGCGCATGATCGAGCATCGGACTGCTGGCGACAGGACACCAGGGCTGACTGTAAGAGGCTTTGGGTTCTGTACGGATGTTAGCGATAGGCTCTGATACTTGTGATGAAATCGGTTCTCACCCTTAGGCTGGTCTATATCCTCCCAGTTGTACGGAGAACGACTTCGCTGCGTTATGATCTCTACACCATGTTGCTGCCTTTCAGGGATCTTGTCCTCTTCATGGCTTCTCATGTGAGGACCAAAACTGGCAGATTCAGTCAAAACAGGGGAGGTGAATGCGTTCGGGTGACAGAATTGGCCGGGGGTCTGGTGCATCGACGAAGATAGTGGCAATCCACCAACACCATGAACTCCAGAACCGAATACTCCCTCGGAATAGGTAGATGAATAGTTTTGGCTTGCCTCGTACCACAACGGAGAAATTGGAGGCAGACGCATCTGAGGCTGGTGAGCTGGCTGTAGGAATTGCGGGCTGGGGATTCCTTGGCTGAAGGGCTGATGCGAGCCGAAGTCAAAGTCGCCCATTCCCCAGTCTGCGTCCTTATGGAAGAGGATATTCAAGAGATCTTGCTTGAGGTCTGCTTGATCTCCGAGCGCAAGCCTGATTGCAACGAGTGTGTCCTTTTTTGATAGGCGTCCTTCTCGAAATGTGCCGAGAATATTCAGGATACTCATTACTTCCGATGACTCCTCCCCGAATCGCAGCTCCAATAGTCAGTATCAGTCGTTTTATGAGATATTCAATCTTCCACATGGTTCGGGTGGGTTGTTTGAGGAACGACTTACTTTGAGGTTGTCTAAGAATGTGTAGACAACTTGCCTCATAGTAGGCTGCTGACGCCGCTCTACATGTTCCCATTTCTCGTTGGCCGTCATGGAGTACGCCATTTCGGTCGAATATAGTGATTGTTGTGTATCTTGAAGCATCTCGTCGCAATTAAGTGCTTCCATGGTTTTGGCTCAGATAGGTAGCGCGAGCACGTATCTTGAACAATAGCTCGATCGCAACACCGACGTCGATGTGATATGGTTGAGGAAGAGATGGAGATGACGAGTCTCGTGGCACAGGCGCTCGGTTCTCAAATAACCGAACCTATCGAGCCTATTCTGGTGAAGTGACGATGAAACACACGTGAACACGCGTCCTCCGCTCTTCGGTCTCGCAGAGGCGGCAACGCAATTTCAGCGTTTGTATGGTACGTGGATACTCGCAGCCGGAGGATTTGACGAGTTGTTTGTACGTGGTGTCACAAGCACGGTCTATGCCCCATTCGGACAACTGGTGATGCGTCTGAGGGAAGTCGCCATGAGGGCAACAGAACAACAACACCAAACTCTCGTCACAATCAGCATATCTGGGGTGATTAAATCGCACTACATATACGATACTGATCCAAAACGTTCCTGTCGAGTGACAATCGCCTGTATTGGGGTATCCGGTTATGTCATGGTATTCTGACCTCTAGCGCCACCTGCAGTGGCTCGTACTGAATCATTGAATGGTCGTTGAAGCTCCGCTAAGTTCGTGTATCCTTCGAAGCGATCAAGCGGCCTCTAAAGACCGTTTGGCGGGAATGGCCGGCATCATAAACCACCTCTACCACGCTTTTCCTGCAATGCCAACCGCCGTCCATTCGGTCGAACAATACAAAGTCGGCAGGCTGACCAGGCTCTAGGGCAAGAGACGTGGAATCACAGCCTATAGCGGCTTTTGCCCGAGCCGATACGGTTTCCTGCATGAGTTAGAGTGGTCGTCGAGACGGAGCTGAACGGCCACTTACATATAGGAGTTCGGCATCTTTCTTTGTTCCAGCCTGGTACAACCCGACACCCAGAGATGCGATAGTCTAGATCATAGTGTCAGCAACACCTCTGCTTGATTGTGGGTGTGACATGTCTTACCAGAGGATCGCAATTCCCGTACGGCGTGAAGGCGTTGCCCACGTTGTTGACAGCAATCGCAGCATTGAATCCGTACTCGTTGATGAGTTCGACGACTGGCAAGGTTCCACGCACGTTCTCTGGCGTCCGCATCATGAAAAGATCGGAAGTCGGTAGACCCACGAAAGAAATCGGCAGATCGCCTACTTCTTGTCTCAGATGCGTCCACTCGTCATTCCGAAACCTTGTCAATCTTGTGCAATGGCCTAACGTGATCTGTTTGCTCCCCGCTTTCTTGCTCCATTCTAGCTCTTTGATGGTGTTCAAGGCATCCCAGACCAGAGGCTTTTTGTCTTCTTCCAGAAAGTAGTCAAGATGGAGATCGAGATGCTTTTGGTGCTTTAGAGCTAACTGCGTGATCCATTTAACATTGTCTAGAGACTTTTCCTCGTCATCTTCAACATATGGCGTGCTTCCAAGCACATCTACTTGCCCCAACGAGGCAGAGTTGGTCATTAGCTTTCTTACCTCCTCGCCCCCGTCCTGGCCAGAAAAGAGCGGGAGCTGGGCGAACGCGCATATCTGCACCTCACACCGATCCTTGAAGATCTCTCTCAATTTGAGACCCGCATCCAAGCACTTCATCTTTACCACCCCGTCCACTTCCACAAAGGCTCGCATAACGGTTACACCATGTTGGATGCTCTCTTCAATGAGGCGTGTGCCCCTTCTTAGGAGGTCATCCTCCTCAAACCTTGACTTTGCCTCGCCTGTCATCTCCATAGCCTCCTTGAAATCGCCGCTCTCAATCTGCAGGTCGCCGAATTTAGGATCTTGAAGGAGAAAGCATTTGTCGAGATGGATGTGAGCGTGGCAGAGCGACGGCGCTATGAGACGGTTGCCTCCATCCAGTGTGTCCTCGTAGCCATCCTGGCAGTCACTATGGTTGTCTACTGAGGCTATTTTCCCATCTTTGATGGCGATATCCCAGAGTGTCGACGGCGGCTTGTTTGGTAGACGGACGTTGGTTATCTTCTCGAGTGTCTTGGTTGACATCCTGTCCTGCATGCTTTCCTTCTCTTCACTAGACTAGAGGCGTAGATGCTCAGGGTTGATGGGCCGCGGGCTAACAAAGGACAGATTGGAGAAAAAGAAAGGAAGGAGAAGAACCAGGAACACCGATAATGACGCTTAGACAAAGCGAGGAAATGCTAGATCGCTTCACTGCACGAGCGTCAACAGATGCCAAGAGCGATGCTGGAGCAGTGAATGGGAGTAAACTCTAATAGCAGCAGAGAACAGGTATTAAAGGCTATCAATATGCATCACACGAGTACATCAGATGTTGATGAGGCCGGAAATAGATGCAAAAGCTTGTGCAGTCGAGAGATGGGTGGGGGTGGTGCCCCGCATGGCTATAGGGGGAGCTAACTCTGTATCCGTGCATGTTGTACGTACCTAAACCTTGACGCGTCTCCAAAGAAGTTACCATCCTATCCACCTTCCATCTCCACTGACGCGCTTTCATCGCGAATTTCGCTGCCGTTCATTTTTGCACACCTTCCAACATGCAGCCGAACTATCAGGCACGGGGATATAATTATCCGCAACAGCACAATGCAGCTACACCTTCCCGACGACCAGGTAAGTACCCATTGCCAAACACAGCTGCCACAACACGTCCTCCTGCACCGACCGCCTGCGCATACTCCCCGTAAAAGACGATGATTAGTAGGAACGACCTCGCTCACTTGTTTCGCAACCCAGGCCCCATTGTCCACCCTCCGCACCCGGCTGCGCAACCGCAGTACAACACCGCCAACATGCAGGCTTCGCAGCGCGCCGAAGCCGAGCGCCGCGAGAAGATGCGCCGCATCGCAAAAAACCCGACCGACAAGAACATTCCCGAGGGCGTCGAGGACGTGTGCATTGGCGATGCCGTAGCGCGCTACAAGGAATTGCGCGAGGTCGAGCGCACGCTGGATGCGACTATGATGCGCAAGAAGCTGGATGTCATGGACTCGAAGCACCATTCGCGCGCATCGCGCTACGGCACCATGCGCATATGGATATCAAACACCGCCGAGAACCAGCCTTGGCAGAGCAGCGGCATCGACGCGGATGCCTTCGATTTCGAGAGCGAGAATAACGCGACGTACCGTGTAAAGATCCAAGGGCGCTTGCTCGACGAAGAGGGCGATGAGGGTCTCGAGGATGACGAGGAAGACGAGAAGGACGCCGATGCGATGTATGTCTGCTCAACTTTTCCAACGCGGCAACGCTAGCTTGAGAGCCTGCCGATCGCAAATGTATCTCAGTAGGAAACTAACTGGTATCTAGGGACGAAGACGGAGCAGAGAAAAAGCCAGCCGCAAAACCGAAGCTATTTTCACACTACTTCACATCCATCAACATCGATTTCGACCGCGCCAAGAGCTTACAACCCGACAACTTCACGCAAATCGAGTGGAAACGACCCGAGAACCCTACTGCAAAGGAGGCCAACTTTAGCGAACTCGAATTTGAGCGCAAGGGCGACGAGAACATTAACATCACGATCAACCTGCAGCGGTACCAAAATCCCGAGGTCTTCCGCCTGAGCAAACCTCTCGCCGAGCTGCTCGACACCGATGAGGAGGACCGCGCCGGTGTTCTCATGGGCATCTGGGAATACGCAAGGTCACAACATCTGCAACAAGAAGACGATGAGCGCAAGTTTGCGTGTGACGCCAGGCTGAAAGCTCTCTTCGGCGGCCAAGACCATTTCTTCTTCCCAAACCTGCCCCAACTCATCAAGCAACACCTCACGACTCTCCCGCCTATTCAGCTGCAGTACACCATTCGTGTAGACAAGGACTACATCTCACCCGCTGCCGATTCAGGCAAGACCGCTTCCGAGCCGACCGTATACGACGTTCAGGTAGCACTCGAAGACCCAATGCAGCCATTGTTCCAAGATATCCTACGCCGACCAGATAGCATACAGACTCTTCAAGAGATTCAGAAGATCGACGAGCAGCTTGTGCTGTTGATGGGAGCGATCGGCCAATCAAAGGCAAAGCACGCCTTCTTCACCAGCATGTCCAAGGATCCCGTGGCCTTCTTCAAGCGCTGGTTGTCTAGCCAGAAGCGAGACCTGGAGGTACTACTTGGCGAGGCTACGCGAGGTGGTGGAGAAGACGTATCTGGCGAGGAATGGCGACGAGGAGGAGCTGATGGTGTATGGGGCAGCGAGGTTGCCAAGGAGAGCGTGGCCTTATGGCTGGCCAGGTCCAATATCAAGCCTCATTAGGAAGAGCTGCTTGGTTGATTTCCTTGCTAGGTTGTAGGAGTTTACGCTTATATTCAGAGAGCCGGGCGAAAAGACGGCGTTCGTATTCGATACCCAAAGATCAGTTTCTTCAGCTTCAACGACGATGCCGTGAAAACGTTCTGTGGGGTGTTTAGATTGTGATAGATGACCATGGCGTGGGGACCATGATAATGCGCATACATACACCAGCCATGAAGCCGGCGAAACTTCATCGATCTTATCTACTCAGTCTGCTTATGGATTTCGTGTAATGAGAGCGTCTCATCGTTGGAGGTAGCATCTGTGTCAGCTCTATAGGGTGGGTCAGCTTCGTCCGGAAGCAGCTAGTCGATATCGTCATCCTTCTTCACTGATCTTGCATCAGGTAACTGTAACACAAAACAATCAAATAACCTTTCTCTAGGCCGCAATACCAACACCGTGGCGGTTTGACACGGCTGAAGTTTTTACTTGTCGATTCGCCCGCTGCGCACGGATGTGTTCACGACCTCTCGAAGTGTCGTCTCCCATGTGCACTCTAGTTTGGCGTGGATTGCGAACTTTGGAAGGTACGACGCACGAGAGGAAATATTGGCAGTTTCCATAAAGCAAATAGGGAGTACATGCAGCGCCTTGATGCTAGGCTCAAATGCAGCAAAGTTGAAACACGGCAATGTGTAGGCTGTCCAATGGCGAGCCCTAATTAAATCAGTATGCCTCCAGCCTCCCTCAGCCTTATCCGAAGTCACAAACAGATCTAACCTGGATGTATGTGTCTAAAACCCTATGCCTCCGACGCTCCTTCGGCTTAATATGAAAGCGATTTCTCTATGAGATCTAAAGGAAACTTACAGCCTAAGTAACCTCCTATCAACACATCATGGCCATTCTACCAAACGTCGTCTATCCACCGAATATCCTCCGGCCACGCACTGTCATTGAGAATAGTCTAAGTGGTGGTGGAATCGCCGGAGTTGTCCTTGGCTCCCTATGCGGTCTCCTCATTCTCCTAATCATCTTTTGGACGTATGCGCAGCGAAAAAGACGAGGTAGTCGGAACACACAATCACGTCGTCAATGCGATCCGAGGGGCGATGGGGTACCAAACTTAGAACAACACGCAAAAGCCTCCACTCGAGAGTCCACCGTCCCTACACAAGCAGTACCCGGCATCACTCCCTTGGAGATCGACAGCATCACCACTGTCAATCCTTGGAAAGTGGAGTACCAGCCCAACCCAGTTATGTTTCCTCATTTATCAGCCCCAATCGGGAATATTCATTATGAGGATGAGGAAGAAGGTGTAGTTTTCAGTACGAATCAGACAAGCCTACGAAGACCCGAAAGCATAATCGAGGTGTGCAGCACAAGATCGAATAGCTTTGGGACCCCGTCAGCGATATATGCAGCGGCCAATGGACCTGGATCCAGAGGTACTTCGCCGCCGCTTCAAGCTATCAATATCAGATCTTCTGGTGATTCAGTACCCCCTCTGAAGTCTAGTAGATCAGATCTACCAATGGACAATATTCTGCCTGTCATAACGTCAGAAGTCCCTACGACCTACGAAAGCAAGAGTCCATGTCAGAGTGGGCTTGGGACGGTCGAAATAATCAACACTACCCCAATCAAATCGTCGGAGCTATATCCAGGCAATTCTGACACTGGTGTCACGGTTGTGTCGTCACCGAGGTCTTTCACAGAGGCGAGCAGTAGCACAAGGACCTTATCCCTGCAGGCATCTTCACGCACCTCGCCGACCGGTAATCCATCAGTATCAAAAGTCACTATATTTCCTTCCAAATCGATCGAAGCAGATACTGATCCGGTGTATCCGTGTTCTATTTGCCACCTCAAGTTTCGAACACCAGGCCTGAGAAGGTATGTAGCCTTCAACCATAAACGATACTCAGTCTTCAAGCCTCTTTGCTCACCCAAACTTTTGTAGAACCCATCAGAATCGTAAACACAACCTCCGATATTCGTGCGGAATATGTAATTCACGATTTGGGCTCCGTGCGGACCTTCGACGTCACGAAAACAGTGTCCATCGAGGTGATCTTCATGACTTTCCTACAAAAGTGTTCCAATGCCCGAACATTGGCTGCTCGGATCCACAAAAGACGTACGCCCGAAAAGATAACTTCAGTAGACATGTCAATCGTTGCGAGAGGACTATTGTCAAAGCGAAGTCACTACATGATGCAGGCATGGAAAAGCGCGAGGGTAACCACAGACACTCGAAAATGCCGAGCCAGACCCGGGAACATGATCCAGATGTGGCAATGTGAGGCAGACCGGGTGCTTTTGGAGGACTCTCATTCGAACCAATGGATGGCTCAATACTCTACGATAGCCAGGTCGAAGCATACACGCATCGCGCTGGTTGCCCTTCGCAGGACTTCACGGAGAAACTATGCGTCTCCGGAATTGTATCATAGGGCAACCTTTCACAGCGGCGACATGCATGCATCATATCTCTCGCTTTGTGCCAATGAGAGAGAGGATGTAGAGCATCTTTCCTGATTTCAAGAGGGAGAAGTGCATTTGCATGATGCACAAGACAGAGTCCCTCGACTTTCCGCCATCTGCACATGTGATTGGCTCCAATCTGTCAGCATGAGTATGCCTCACTCAGCCTCGCAGTCACCCGTACATCCCATAATAGTAGCATCTCTTGCTTTTCGCTCGCCCAAAATAACTCTTCTACTACCACCATACCCTTACAGTCAACATGGCCCCCATCGCCTTCGCTGTCCGCTCCACAATATTGCATACTGCGCCTTCCCGTAACAAACGAGCCTCATCTGCGACCAACAATCCCGCTCTCTTGATTGGTATCAGTGTCTCAATTATATGCTTCGTTATCGTTATTGGAGCAGGATGGTTTTTCATCTGGAGGAGGAGGAGGGCGGTAAGGAGGCTTTCAGGTGGTGTGGAGGAGCCCTCGGAGCTTGACACGACATGTGGTCGACAGAAGCACAGATACGAACAAAACGCACCAAGAATAACACCAGAGCTGGATGGGAACGTGACACCAGTCGAAGCCGGTGCTACTGCTACATTACCAAGATATCCAGAATTGCTACGGCGGCCACACGAGCTCGCATCAGCAGAGAAATCCGACTTCACAGAACTGGGTAGATATAGTGAGCCAGAGCAGTTTGTCGATTGTAATGAGAGAATTGAGCAAGAACATCTACCAATCGGGCAAAGTGAGCTTTGACACTGGCTATTCTCAAGCTTTCGCTAACAATATTTCTCTAGTTCAATCGTCAAACATCCCTCCTGTTCACACCAGTGTTGGAAGCAATAACAACCCAGGGGCATTGAGTATCCAACAGCCCATACAAGATTATGTCGATCCGTTTGAAGTCGAACTTAACTTAAACCCTGTTTACTATCCATCTCGTGCCGGTCTATCTGACAGACCAGGCGAGCACCCAGATCAAACGATATATCTCCCGGACTCCGAGAGGCAGCGGGTACACAGTCTCATCCCGCTTCCTCTTAGATCAGGAACATCAGATATGGAGATGCATTCCACAGAGACGTCTACAAATGCCGATGAATTGCATATGCGAGAGCCAACGCCGAACTGGAACAGGACGTCCATCGACGTAGGACAGAGAGCGAATGCATGGCCGCTGAGAGACACGAAGAATCAGCTGGATTTGGAAATTCAAAGGCAAATTGACGAAACAGAGGGCACGCCTGAGCACGACAAAATGGAAGTAGATGCAATCTCTACCTTCTCACCAACTCCTCGAGCAGCTGGTCCAAGTCGTGCTTTTTCTCCACCACTTGTTTCCAATTTAGCGCCCCGCAGGAGAGTAGCAGTCCTCGATCTACATCCCTTGGAGACTGATAACGGAAAAGCTGAACGGGATAATGACCAGAGCAAGGGTAGAGACAGTAACTTAAACCAAAGACGGCGTCAGAAGCAACGTACGTTAATGCCCAAGTCATCATCCCCACAGAATTCGAAAACCACATCAAGCCCACAGTCAAGCAAGTCCACGCCTGATTCTGCGAAGACCAAGTTGAGTTTCGCGTCTACGGCTACAAATGCGACACATACTACATCGCCAGGATCAGCTATCACTACACCATCAATGGCAACAGAATCACCTGCCAGCTCATGGAGTCCCCAAGAGAACAACCTGGAATGCCAAACCTGTGGTCAACTGTTTAGCACTGCAGGCCGCCAGAAGTATGTATCTTCCCATCTCGCAAGACTTCCCAGCAGCCTGCATATGTGATGCAAACCTTTTTTACACCCAATCAGTCTATCATACTACCATCAAACATATACTAACAGAGTCTTCAAAGGAAACACTACAACCGCATACACAATCTCCGCTACGTATGCGACATCTGCGCACGACCGTTTGGTGTAAGAGCAGATTTAGAGCGCCATGAGCATACAGTGCATGCCGAGTTTTTCCGGTCTCTCAAGCGTTCTTGGTGCACTGTCCCCGGCTGTCCAACGCCGAATAAGGAGTGGAAGCGGAAGGACAATTTCACTAGACACGTTAGAAGCTGTGAAACGAGGGCGGCGGCAGCAGTCAGCCGAGGGCGCGGGAAAGGCAAGGAACGAGCTGTAGAGTAGAAAGGGCGTTTCAAGAGTGAAAAAGATGGGTATTTAACGTTTCGAACAATTACCAAAAACCCTCATCTCCCCACGTAGTCCGTACTCGTGAACTCGCGCAAACAGGCATGCATGCTCATGCGTTCGCGTCCGAACATTCCTATATCCACACATACAAATGTACAATGGCGCAGCTTCCTCGTCCTCCTCTCAGGAAGTCGCCTGGTCTTCTTCTTCTCCCCCTCATTCTATGTTTCCCTAATATGTTGCTGCTGGCGGAGCAAGCTCTCTGCCCAGTAATCCCAACACTCTTTGAGTAAGAAATAAACAACGTAACCGACAACGCCCGTCTCGCACACCTTCCGAGGGTGGTGGAACATGCAAATTTGATGCGATTGATGAGGAGAAGCGACGACATTTCAAGCGTCGCAAAGTCCAGAGGGGCGGCGTGAAGAGCCCAACACGCCAGAAACGCCACGCAGGAGAAATGGACCTGAACCGGGGAAAACATCTACTGAAGGGAACTCGTTGGTGGAGGCGTTGTCAAGGGGCGTGAAAGATGGCGAAAATGAGGTTTTCAAGTGTTGCTGATGATGACTCTGGCGCCCTCTTTGCCCAGCACACCGCGCTCCTTGGCCTTGGGGCTCCTGTCCCGACCCTTTTTGCGACTGAGGAAGCCGAGCATGCCAGACGGTTTCTCGGCGTGGGCATCTTTCTGTACAAGGGCGGAACTCTGGTTAGCCATCTCGGTCCAGGAGCCATGCTCATTGAGAACTACCTGTACGCCTCCGGTTGTGCTGATGCTGCGCTGCGATCCGCGCTGGCGGTTATTTATGGGGCGGGAGAAAGAGGGCGTCGGAATCTCGGAGCCGTCATGGGGGAAATAATCAACATGCTCGCCACGCTGCGATGTGGGTGAGCCAGTGTTGGCGGTCTGGTTCAGAATGTTCGTGGCAAGCGGAGGGCTGCCGTTGGGCGATTGCGTTGATCGGGCGGTAGTAGCGGAGCGGGTAGGATGGAGATCGCCGTCCTGGGACTTGTTGGTCGGCGCGACTGGGCGCCCCCATGGGTCTACCTGCTGCCCTGCTGCAGATGTGGGAGCGTTGTCCGGCTGGCTTGTATTGCTCGCTCTTGAGCCGCCGACCGAGTCTTGGGGATCTGCCACTGCTACAGCAGCCGGAGGCCGCTGGTCTGCAGCGGTTGTGTAATTGAAAGGCTCAAACAAAGTCTCAATCATCCTGTGGAGCTCCTCTGCCCGTATCTCCTGCTCGGTCGCATCGTCCTTGAGCGCTTCTCTGGGCTTCTGTCTGCGCGCTCTCGCCTCAAGTGGTGCCTCTTCCAATAACAACTCCTCTAGATCGTAGGTCGCGTCAAAGTTGGTCTTGTCGCTCGACGGGATAAAGACGGGTGGGATCTCCTTCCGCTCCAGCGCGACGAAGTCAAGGGGACGGAAGAAGGGGTTGTCTGTAAAGGACTCGAAGCCAATGGCGCCTATGCGCTTCTTCCGGTCCTTCTCCAGCAACGAGCTGATGGCATGCAGACAGGGCATCGACACAGGCGGGCTGGTAACAGGATACGTGGGCTCTCCCTTGGAGATCTTGGCGGCGAGCGAGTCGTGGCTGCTGGCCTCAAAGGGTCGCTTGTTGTAGATGCACTCGTAGAAGAGCACACCCAGTGACCACCAGTCGACTTCGCACGAGTATCCTTTGCCTTCGTACACTTCGGGAGCCAGGTAGGCGAGCGTGCCAGACTTGCTCGTCAGCGGCTTGTGGGGCGTGAAGTCGGAGGCGACGTTCTGGCAATGTTAGTGACAGTTGGGATGTGGGTGGGATAGAGCGTACAAAGTCTGCCAGATGGACATGGCCCTCGGAATCCAACAGCACGTTGTCTGGCTTGATGTCCCTGTGCACAATGCCCTGCTGGTGGATGTAGCGCACGGCGCAACCCAGCTGGGCTATCCAGAAGCGCACTGCTTCTTCAGTAAACGTCTTTCGCGAGATGTGGAAGCGTAGATCGCCGCCGTTCATTAAGTCGACCACAATGTATCTGGGACTGTCAGCTTCGTGTCCAGGCTGTCGACAAGGCGGAAGACATACAGATATTCGATATCTTGGAAACTGTAGCGCAAGTTGCAGAGGAAGGGGTGGTTCAAGTGCTCGAGCATGCGCCGCTCTCGAATGATGTTGCGAACACTCTCGGAGCGTACCACTGTTGCACAACGTCAGCATCGGTCCCTGCTAGCATGCAGTCGCACATTGTGCACACACCTTCATCTTTCCGGATGTACTTGAGCGCAAAAGTGAGGCCCGTGTCTTTCCGCTCGACGATGCGCACCTTGCCGAATGCGCCCTTGCCAACAACTCGCAGCAGTCGGAAGTGGTTGAGGTTTACTGCTGGGGAGTTAGTGACGGTGTTCGCTACCCTCTTCTTGCACGTTCAAGGCTCTGATGCTTCAAGGCTCTGATGCCCGAAGACGCTTTTGTGGAAACGCACCTTGGTCGGTGAAGACGACGGGCTTGCCGTTGCTCTGACCCATGGGAGGCTACAATGGCAGACTGCCTGAGGAATGGAAATGCGTGTCTAGTAATGCATCAGGCGAAGGATGGACGTGGCCGGGGGTGCTTCGGCGGCCTGGTGGTGGGGACGGCGGTGGGGACGGCGTTGTGGTTGCGGGCGGGCGTGGTCTGGATGGCAGGCGAGGGCGGGCGGGTAGTCGGGGATTATTAAGGCAGAAGCAACTGGCAGCAGACGTGAGATAGAAGTAAAGCAGAGTTGAAAGGAGGGCCCGACAGGATTGAAGAGGCACGTTTCGCAGGCGTGGCCCAAGGAAGATTAGTGTCGGCAGGACTAGTGGCTAGGAAATGCATGGGTTACACGTTTTGAGTCGCATCCCTGCACCACGACTGGGCCATCAAAGACGACCGAAGCTGCTACGAGGCAAGCGTTGATGCTCCCCTAGTCATGGTCAGCCACAGTACAACGCCCGCCCACGAGGCCTGGCCGCACCCTACTCAAACCGAGCCATGGTTATAGTTGACCACGACGCCATTGTGTGCATCTAGAGACGTCTAGCTTGCCAGGTGAGACTGCCCGGCAAGCCCCATGCACCACGAATCCCATGTGCAGCCTACCTACCCACCAAACCTCGTCACGGGACGGCGCACTCTATCTGAGCCGTCAGAGCCCCAAGGTTTCCGGGGTTCAGCGAGACGTCGTCCTGCTCCCGTCTGATCTGCACTAAGCTCGGACTCGTCGTGAAACACATCTTCAACCACAGGCCCGACGCCGCGCAATCATAGCACTGGCTTAGCTCGGGAGTCGTTATAATTTCCTCCTGCAACCACCACATGTCGAGGCTGGCAGCATACACCTGTCTCGCCGATTTTGGCCTTTCTCCAAACCCTTCATCGTCGTTGATAAGACCAAGCATCGCTCCCGGAGCCGGCGCCGATTGGGCTTTCCTCCATTAGTTTCTTCTCCCCAAGACCCGCTTTCTTCTACTAACAACGTAGAACCGTGCGACGGGCGACCACCTCTGCAGCAAACCAGCTGCGGGTACTCAGGCCGGCGCTGAGAGCCACGTCAAGCGGAATTGCTTTGGCATCCTTCGCGGCCTTTTGACGAGAATTCAAGAGAACAAGTCGCTCGCTCAACCCAGTAGCGCACATGGCCGCTGCAGTGCCAATGCTCACAACGCCGACCTCGACGGTTGGCGCGCACATTGTATTCCCGGGGCCATCTTGGCTAGGCAAACCTTCACTCCTCTTATGCCAGACGTAATGGTCTTGGCCGATCCTTCCGTGCCTCCTCCAGGGACCTGCACTAGTCCACCACCCCCTGTCACTAATTGCCAACTACTCCTCCTGCTTGGCCAACTCTCGTTCCCCAAGACACCACCACGACTACACCGTGGCTCTCTCGGGAAATTCTGAGTCGGCATGCATGCATCCCTGCTTACAACCGCTCCGGCCCGATCGCTCAACCCCCGTTGACAACTGTTGCACGACAGCTCAGCACAGCAGGCACAAGCAAGACTCTTTCGCGGATGCGCGCCGCTGCAGTCGTTGCATGTCTCTGTACGTGGGCGTGTAGTACAGAGTTTCGGCTGAGCCCACACCAGGCTAAAGAGCTCGCGTTCTAGAAGACTGCCGCTTCCTCCGACCTGCAGCAGTGTGGACACCATTCCACGCGACTACTGCGTGTCGCCTGCAGCCATGTGGACTTGTTCAGCCTCGTAGTGCCATCTCCTAATCAAGTCTGCCGCCGGCTACGGTTGTAGCTCATCTCCTCCTGAAGCCTGACGCCTCGTGTCGGGTCCTCAATGCTGGGGCAACCCTTTGCGCCCTCCTGCGCGCATGTGGCACAGCAACTCCTGATGCAATGCAGCCCCTATGCGTTGGCATCCAACCAGAGCTTATCCGTTCCCAGGTCCTTGTTGCTGGTCTTGCTCCCGCGAGAACAAGACCAGTGTTTCTCCAGTACAGTGGTGCCTGACGGGTATCGATCGATGTTGTCCACTCTCCTGGGTTCCAGCCTTGCAGACATGCGATCCCGCGGAAGAACCGTCTACTAGACATATCGACATCACTAAGACAGATGGGCTACTCCTGCGATCCTCGCTTAACATGAGATCGCATCAATCTGCAGCAGACTGGCGTCGACAGCCCCTTGGGTCCTGATTGGCTGGATTTGTATGCTTGTATGCAACTGGTGCTTCGATACGAACAAGCCACTGGCTATGAGATGTAGTCCCATTCGTAAGCTCCGGCACTCTACTGGCGCTATCATGCACCTCAGAACTACCTACCAGACCTGAAACACTTGTTTCCATGCATCCAGCTCAGCTCAATGTGCGAGCGGTGCTTTTGCCTCCAATTAGCGCCTTCGGGATCAACCTCATAGGCACGGACCTCGCGTGAAAGACTGCGGCATTCAAAGAACGTTCCGCGAAACGTGGCCTGCAAACCCTCGGCGTCATGTTGCGGAGAAGAGCATTAAGTTCTACGCTGGATCAGAATAGGAAGTCGATTACGCTGGCTTAATATGGCTGAAAAGCCTCACGAAAACCCTCTCACAGCTCCTAAGTTGGTTGGATAAACAACCTGCACTTCATGCACGTAAGCTATGATCATCCTAGCAAACACGAGCTCGGGGCGAGCGGATAGGATTTGTACCACAATAGTCTGCATTGTTTAGCACAAGGAAGTCCCACGCTGATTACTGTATCACAGGCAAAAGAGCTGGTAGATGTGCTTCGCAAGTATCTTCAACTCCGGTGGACATTCGGCAGATCCGGCATCGAAGCGAAGACTACACATCTACAGGTCAGTCCCTCTCAGTGTGGATCTTAGTGCGGAACTCGGCACTGTTCCCGACGACCAATACAGGCATCGATCCCATGTACATATATACGACAGAAGGAAGACAGCCTGATATGGTAGTACCAGGTGTTCTTCTAACTCAATCAGGACGCTATCGACTTTATCCTCGAGCTCCTACAGATCATGCATACAGCGATATCCCTGTCCGCTTACGCGGTACTACCCGAAGCTCGTATTTTCACACCAAAAATACAGCATCGGTATGGGTACGCGCAGACGCATGGATCTGACCTCGCTCGTTGAAAGTGTAGTAAGATCTGTAGCCCGCCCGTTCAGAGAGAGGCGGCCTTCCTGCGGCACATGCGGCTGTCGTTCTATACGACTGAGATACCACGTGGTGTCTCGCACAGCGGTGTGCAGGGCCAACGCTAAGCAGCCATGGCGTCGGGTGCGTCGTCACGCAAGCGTGAAGTTTGCTTTTGCGGAACTATAGTACTATCGTGGTATGACGCCTGGGAACAAAAGGAAGTTGCATGGATGCCCAAGCAGCTCGTCGATCAGCTCCCAAGCCTCGGAATTGTTTATCCAGACAGCAATGATCTTCTTGTAGAACAAGCCCACAGGATGTCTAGACACGTGATGGATTACCCGATGCACTGCTTGCATGATGCTCTGTGCAGTTGGCTTTTGTCGATACAACCTCTATGTCTGGATGTTTGTAGACTAGTAGAACTCTAAGAATCTAGGTTCTGAGTCCCATCAGTCAGGCAAGTATACGCGACTTCTGTGCCTCGACGTCAAAAGAATGGGTGCGTGAGATCCTGGTCCTACCAGGATATACATTGAATGATGACAATTCATTCTCAATATTATCCGTGGTTGAACTGCTTCACGCCGTGGGGTGCATCATAGTCAGCTCGGGATGCTGGATTGGCGCGCGAAAAGCGATTCTCTTAGTAATGGATCAGTATGATATCGTTGTGAATGTAGGAAGATGGAAGCAACCGGAGACCAGGGCAACCTTGGAAGGCCGCATATACTAGATTCACGGGCAATGTGAGGACGATTGGTCAAGCTGGGGTAGATCTAGGCGGCTCTTTCCGAAATCAGCCAGAACAGAGATATTTTTCCTGTTCTGGCCAAAAGAGGCAATCGCGCTGAAGTGTGCCTCCCATAATGCTGGGCCGCTGTATTGCGGTCTAAGTATGCACGGCTATTGACGGTGCCAAGCGGCTGCTGCAGGGTCGCCGGCGACGTTGCGCATTGTTAGCTATGTGCGGAGTGCAATGTGGTACCTATAACGGTCTTCACTCGAGTGTACCATTGTAGCGATGCAACGTTGGTGGCCTAGGGTCTGGTTCCTCGGTTCGGCAGGCACTAAGCCCTATGCCCAAGCTTCAACACGTTGCGACTACCCTACCCAGCACGACGTCGAGCAACACACGATGCACTCAACCAGCAACCCCAGCTCCGCACGTCATGAACGGGGCAGATACACGGACATACGCTGAATCGCATACCACGGGCCAGCTGCCTACGCCAACCTCAACGCCCGAACCGGACGATCTGGCACTTCCGGGTGCCCGCCGCAACAATGAAGCCAGGAGCGAGGAACCGCTGCACAACATGACGAATGGCTCCAGGGTCGAGGCGAACAGCGCAATTAGTTCGAATACCACGAGCAGGAGGCCGAGCGTGCACGAAGAAGCTATCCTCTCAGACACAAGCGAGAAGATACGGCCTATCAAGCGGCCTGGAGATGCTCGGAGAAGGAGCAGCGTGTCGGAGCACGAGAAGATTCTCAAGCTCAGTCCCCGCCAGATTCAAGAGCTTACGAGTGAACCTGCGAGCATCCCAGTGCGAGCAGCGACTCCGATTCTTGAGGACGAACTAGAAGACGTCACACCGCTGGAAGATGCGGACGGACAGGGCAAGAATAAGCTCTTGGGCGTGGTACTGGAGCGACCAGTGGAGCTGAATGGCGAGACTAGGAAAGGGAAGGGCTCGGGAGGGCGAGATGCACCACGGGAGAAGGAGGTTGTCCTTATCAAAACATCTGCAACTGAATTGCGAAACGGCCGGCCTGTCCTCAGCTCACGATCCATCACTACGCCCTCGCTCACACGGAGGACGTCATCCAGGTCGCGGTCACGCACACATACGCAGACGCAAGAGACAGAGGACCGGAGACACGGCAGACATGTTCCTCCGCCATTGAGTCTGGACCACAGAGATGGCACATCAAAGGGCCACGACCGACACAAAGAGACGCGCGAGATGCGTGAGCAGGTTTCGCCGACGCCAATTGCTCTCCCGCTGCCGCCAATGTCGATGCCTACTTTTCTCTCGCTAGAACTTTCTGCAAGCCGCCCCTCTCCGCTGTACATATACCGTCCAGCGACGACAGACTTCCCTTATGAATCATCCGAGATCAAGTACGAGCGGTTGCTCAACTTCCTGAGGATACCGCTGAAAATTGAGGGCATATTGGGTTTTGGCGCTCTGGCTTGTCTCGATGCATGGATGCACGTTCTGACGATCCTCCCCCTCCGCTTCCTGCTTGCCGTCCTCATCTTGGTCAAATGGTGGGGCTCCGTCATTGTCAAAGAATTCCGTGATCTCTGGGCTTTTGTCTATGATGGCCTTCCTCGCTTTTGGCAGCGCAGGAAGCAGACCGACGTCCCCACGCCTCTACCAACGCCCGCCGACGAGGTGGCTCCGTCAATGTCGCGTAAAACGTCGTCCTCGACCGTTCCTCCAGTTAGTGCTACGGCCAGGCAGAGTCCGCACGTGTCGACAACCTTCAAGTTTCCAGACATGAATGAGCTCAGAGCGCGCCGGCCTCGTAACTCTCGATTTCGTCATCGGCGCACCAAGTCTACGCCATCAACGCTGCAACCAAGTCATAAGGCAGACATACTGAAAGGTCTCCTAGTCATTGCAAGCTGCTTTGTCTTGATGCGGTTCGATGCCAGTCGCATGTACCATGGCATTCGTGGCCAGTCAGCGATCAAGCTCTATGTCATCTACAACGTTCTCGAGGTATGTGACCGCCTGCTCTCGGCTGTTGGTCAGGATGTGTTGGAGTGTCTCTTTTCTCGTGAGACTCTGGATCGCAATCCCGACGGTAGAAGCAAGGTTCTCCGGCCACTCGGAATGTTTGCCCTCGCACTTGTATACACTGTTGCCCATGCTACAGCGCTGTTCTACCAGGTCATCACTCTAAACGTGGCTGTCAACTCCTACTCAAACGCACTACTGACACTGCTCATGTCCAATCAATTTGTGGAAATCAAGGGCACAGTGTTCAAGAAGTTTGAAAAAGAGAACCTTTTCCAGATCACCTGTGCAGACATTGTAGAACGCTTCCAGCTCTGGCTCATGCTTCTCATTATTGCAATGCGCAATGTCGTTGAAGTTGGCGGCCTCAGTATTCAAAGCAGCGATACGTCGTGGACGGCCATGTTCACTGGATCCGCAAACGCGTCCACGACTCCATTCAAGGCCTCGAGTATCATACCCATGAGCTTTACCATCTTCCCCAAATACATCGCTCAGGTACTCAATCCGTTCCTACTAGTGTTGGGCAGCGAGATGTTTGTTGACTGGCTGAAACATGCGTACATCACCAAGTTCAACCAGTACAAACCGGAGGTGTATAGCAAGTTTTTTGACGTTCTAGCCAAGGACTACTATTCCAACGTAAGCTGCCTTATTCTTTCTACACTTTCTCGCTAACACCCACAGGCCTTTGCTGATGCAGACTTGACACGACGCCTGGGTTTGCCAGTCATACCACTGTCCTGCCTCTTCATCCGTGCTGCTATTCAGACCTACCACATGTTCATTGCCATGCATATGCCGCCTCCCCTCCACACAACATCGACATCACTCTCTTCGGACCCCGCCTCCTCCCCCACCACGACCGCAGCTCTCGCCCATATTGACCATGTCTTCCGCCGCGCTCTGGGTCGTTCTTCCTTTGGCGCTGGTGTTCCCTCCCAACCCTGGTATCATCCCCTCTCCTATACCCTCGATGATCTGATCGCCGGCTCGACCATGCTCATCGTCTTCCTCGTTGGCTACTTTATCTTCCTTGCTTTCAAACTTATCCTTGGTATGCTGCTGCTGTCCATCAGTCGCAAGCGCTATCACGGTATGCAGGAGCGAGAGAAGATGAGCGTTGAGACTGGGGGTAAGAGGATCGGGGGCTGGGGCGTTGTTGATGTGGACGAGGAGAAGAGGAAGGTAATCTACGATGATGATCCCGAAACGCTGAAGCGGTTGAGGGAGAGAGACGAGAAGGGTAGGAAAAAGGAGCAGGAAGAGAGGGAGAAGGGGACAAGCTTTGGACACGTTAGTCGATATGCGATGGTCGCTAAGAGAATATGGTGATGTAGTTTAGTTTGTTCCTATATCATTACGACTCGTTTCAATCTTCCAGACTATGTTCACATCTTCGGTTTGTTTACTACTTGGTATGTTACACGCTCGCAACAATACCTTGATTCGGGTCAAATATCGCGTATCTGAGCATCTATTGAATCCTACCGAGGTTGGCGTTAGTGCTGCACGCTAGTGGCACGCCTTTCAACAGCATCGGCCGTAACACGTCTGCCTTTATCGCAAGCACTCTCCTTGACATTCTACCGTTTCGTCATCATCCTTGAACGCCCAAAGCTGGATTTGACCTTTTCGCTCAGCGCATAATACTCCGGTCTCTTTTCATCTGACCACAACTCAACATGGCCGAACAATCCATTCCCAAACAAAAGCCCTTCATGGAACAACTAGCGTTGAAAGAGGTTGGGAAGGATGAGTACGAAATGATCAACCTACCTCAGAAGATGGGCAATCCGCTGGATATCGCGTATGGCGGCTACGCAATCGCCGTGGCATGCAAAGCGGCGTCTCTCACAGTACCGGAAGGCTACCATCTCTACTCTATGCAAGGAAACTACCTAGGACCAGCATACACGGACCGGCCTCTGCGGGCCAGTGTGCGGGTAGTAAGGCAAACAAGGACGTTTGCGACACGACAAGTAGAAGTGAGCCAGACGACCGATGCCGGAAAGGAAGGAAAAGAAGGAGAGAAAAGAGTATGCCTTCTTGCAACGACGGACTTTATGGTCGCAGAGACTTCGTCCCTGTTATCATACTCCCAAGCTCCCTTGAGCAGCTATCCAAACTGGAAGGATTGCCCCACACCATCGGTTGCGTATTCCGGTCTTGTCGCAGAGGGGAAGATGCCGCAGAAGATGCTAGATGCGCACGCAGTAGGCTTCAATCTGCTGAACCACCTCTACGACCAACGTCTCTGCCCCAATGCCATCTTCGCGCAGAACCTCTACGGCATCGCAAAAGAGCTCCCGCATACACAAGACGACCTCCCTCCCTCCTCGCGTACAACTGCAGATTGGATCCGCAGCAAGGAAGTCCTACCCAAGCCTATCGATCACATCACCGCACTGACTTTCCTCATCGACACCGCTATTGCGTTCTTACCGCTGTCGTTCAACCATCGCTGGTTTGACGACGTAAGTGCAGTGTCTAGTTTGGATTTCTCATTGAGAATATTTGCGAACGAGGTGGATGTAAATGGGTGGTTGCTCAGGGAGTTGAGGGCGCCGGTTGCGGATCAAGGACGTAGTTTTGGCGAAGCATGGATATGGGACGAGGAGGGCAAGGCGGTGGCATGTATGAGTCAGCAGAGTATTCTGAGGCCGACAAAGAAGAAGGCGAAGGGGAAGTTGTGATTATCCTGGGAGATGGTGGTAGTGTTTGGGGTGTTGGGATTGGAATATGGTTGTGTTTTGAGTATATGTACTGTAGATGTCGCAATTACAAGTATCGCATTCGGTTCAAGACGCAGAATGCGAAACCGACACTCATAGATTACTCAGACGCGCTGTCCCAATAAGCTCGTCAGCGCTACCCCAGGCTGACCCGGAACGTTAATGTACATCTGGGTATAATCGGCCCGACGGATCTGTCAGAGTGAAGACGCAATCGCAACCGAAGATCCTCGGCTGTAGATATCGCGAGCCTGCTAACGTGCATCCCTTCGTAGCGCAAATCCTGGTGTGCCGCAACCTGCCAATCAGCTCGCGAGAATGACGGACTTCATCGCAGTTCTCGCGAGCTGATTGGCAG